TTCTATTTCATGTTAAATTATCTCTTCATCACTCATATTTTTAGGTTTTTTTTCTTATGACTTTTTTCAATTAAGACATAGCTCACATTCAATAGAGTAAGATAAAATAAAGTATTTTGCCTCCATCTTTTAAAATTTATACCATAAAAGTAGAAGGTTTTGTAAAGATCACCCACACCGAGTGGAGCTTTGTCCATGCATATTAATGTTTTCCATTAGTAAGTTTTATCTTAAATTGTTGAAAAAATAGAAAAATATTACCTAAAAATCTTGAATGGAAAAAAAAAACAAAGCGAGCTTTACCAAAATCTTATAGATGATTGTCTCGAGGTACAACTAGATTGCTTTCTTAAACGATATGCACCATTTATAAAATCGTATCCGATGCAACGAATCAAAGATATATTACACACTCGTCTAAAGGATATAACAAGCTTAGTCACCTTATCGTGTCTTAACACATTTACACTACTTGTAAGACTTAAAAATCAATTACAAACTAGCATCATGCTTAGCCAAAGAAAAAGTAACAAAAAATGATATGGCTTTAGTGGGAAACGAAAGCAATAAAATTGAAAAAAACGCTATTTTCTCTAAGCAAAGTAAAGAAAAAATGATTGCTATTTTTTCACTCTCCACAAGGTAAGAAATTGTTGTAGTTGTAGTTGTGTTTTTCATCAAATGGCAAGAGCCCATTTATATAGTGTAAAAATTACTCGCTAGACAATAGTATTAATTAACAAATTAAATGGTTTAAACGGTAAAAAAATATTGAGAATGAATGCAAAAAGCTGTTTGTTAATTGAATAAAAAAAATGAAGCTGTTCTAGCCTTTCTTTTAAAAGTACCATTCAATTATTAATTGAATAAAATAGTATTTTGTGACTGTTGAAACAATACACATTACTATTTCAAAACAGTAACTTATACTTTTTTTTTTTTTTAATATCTTATAAAAAGTTATTTTATTAAAAAATAACCCAACAATTTATGATGAGACAAACTCCATTTTTTGAAGTGAAAGTGCAATTTGCAAAGGTAGGTTCAGCTAGAGCGCCTTCATCACGTTAGGATGATAGTTGCCTTTGAATGCCTTCACCCCCTCTAAGAGTGACATGTGTCAAAATGAATAATAGGGTCTAGGAGATTTATATTATCATGTGTTCTAGTACACACAAGTATGTTCTTCAAACCTAATTACCATACTCTCTTTATTTCGAAAAAAAAAACAAAAAACAAAAAAAGAAAGAAAACTATCAATGGATTCTATCCTTAAGTTCAATAAAAATACAATTAAACAAAAGAATTTTTCAGAACAATAAATTATACTATTTCCTCTAAGATATATGAGGTTATGAAATTTTGAATTTCAAAAGTATAAAATTAAATTTTAATATAAAATAGTTATTTAAAAATGATTTTTGAGATTTGATTGAACTTACATAATTATAGATGTGTTGTTTGGTGAAAAAATCGTAAAATATAAATTTTTAAGGGTGGTTGGCAGTATTTGGTGGCAATTCGGCATAATTTCTAGGCCTATTTTTTATTGAAAAAACTACATAATAAGTTTATCAATTTTAGATCTTTTGTCAATCAAGTATATTAATTTTTTTAGCATATCAACTTTTTTCAAGAATACCAATCAAGTTTTTTTATTCAAATTTTCATCCAATAATGATGTGACAATTAACAAAAAAAAACTAAATAACTATATTGTTTTTTTCCTCCTCTTAAATTGTTATTATTATTTAGTTATTAATTAAAAAAGAAAGCAAAGCAATTGCTTTGCTATCCTTTTTTCTTTAATTAAGCTGTTTTGATTTTTTAATTAATAATTAAACAATAATAGCAATGGAGAGGAGAAAAGAAAAAAAGATAACAAAATCATTTAGTCTTTTCTATTAATCGTCACATTGTCACTAGATGAAAAATTAGATGAAAAAACTTGATTAGTATTTTTAAAAAAATTAATATACTAAAATAAAAATTAATGTATTTAATACAAAAAAAAAATTCAAGATTGATATAATTATTAATGTAGTTTTCCCATTTTCTACTTCAAACAATTTAGAAGCTATGGATTTGTTTAGTTGAGCTAGAGTGCCTTCATCACGTTAGGATGATGGATGCCTTTGAATGCCTTTGCCCCTCTAAGAGTGACACGTTTCAAAAGGATATCATGTCATGTGTTCTACTGCACACAATGTGTTTTCCAAATCTAATTACTATATTGTCCTTATTTCCGGAAAAAAAAAAAAAAAAAAAAAAAAAAAAAAAACAGAGATAGAAAAAACTATCCGGGATTCATAGATTTATAAGTAGACTATTTTATCACTAAATTTAAGAAATATGAGGTTTTAAAATTTTGAGTCTAAAATATATAAAATTAAATTTTAATATAAAATAATTGTTTAGAAATAATTTTGAGATCAGATTTAAATTTACAAAATTGCAAAAAGTGTGTGGATGTGTTGTTTGGTTAAAAATATATATATATAGATTTTTAAGGGTGGTCGGCAGTATTTGGTGGCAGTCCTGCACAATTTCCAGATTTCGGCATATTTTCTAGAATTTTGTGAGAAATCAATAAGATACATTTTGGTCCCTAAACTTTCTTATCATCTATCTCTCCATACTATTTATTATGGTCCTCAAAGTTTTAACTACATTAGATAACCCCTTAATTCAAATTTTAACATGCCCAACATAAAATTGATTGTTGTGTGTGCCATGTTTATGCTTATTGATGATGATTTGGATTGATTTTTGAAGTGATATTTGTGAAGTTTGGATAGTGATTTAAGATTAATCAGGAAATGTTTTAATCATCTTATGGATACAAGAGCTGTTTGGTTTCTATGGTGATTTAAAAATGATTTTAATTTGATTTTTTTAAAATCGTAGATAATCTTAATTTGAAGTTATTTCTCTTTTTTTTTTATCATTTTCAATTTATGTTAGATATTTATAATTTTCTTCTAAAAAAGAATCTGCTAACATGTTATATTCATTTAGATGGCTGATTGTTTATAAAATTGAAAAAGGTTTTTGATTTGCCAGCCATGGATTCATGGCCTCATCTAAATTAATAATTTGCTTTGCAAGGTTGGATTTATGCGTGCCTACACTGAACGCATGAGCACATGGACACTAGCTAGGCTGATGCTAAAGCCAGAAAGGCTCCGTTTTGTACTAAGGAAGCAAGGCATCAGGCGACCAAGCCCATCTCTGCTGCAGTTGGAAACAAATTGCATTTTTTTTTTAGAAGGAAACACAAAAAGTTATATGCGAACCAGGCTAGTGTGGTTAGAGAGATTACTATCGGAGGGGACATATTTATGCATCATTGGAATTTGAGAAGCCTTCACATGAGAAGAAAGAATGCGACCCTTTGCTTTATCAGGCCATTCTGAGTTGAAATGGGACTTTTTGGGACCATCCGAGGATAATCCTCGCTCCTGAATTATACATGGACAAGGTTAAGGTAACATCATTTACGTTTCTTTGTTTGTGTCTTTGAACTTCAGCAAGCTTCGTGGGCTCGTTTTTTGTGCATGGTAGTGGTGGTGATATTTTCCAATGTTTTGACATGAGAACAAGCTCTGCAGTAAGTAGAATTAATGCTATTGAACATATACAGCAGTGATATTGACCAGGCTAGGTAACTCTTGCAACTCTTAATTCATCTATGTTGGAATTGATTTACAATAATCTTACGTTGAACTTTGAACTTTAACCTTGTGATGTTGCTAACTCGGACTTGTTGTTTGTTGAAGTACTCAAACTAATTTGAATGTGACCATCCCCTTCTGTAATGGATGGACATGGAAATCTCTTTTGAAGCATGTCCTGGATTATTTGTAAATTCATTCCTTGACCGTTATTTTCGTTTCTGATTTTTCATGCATGAATAGTTCGTCTTGGAGTAGAACCAGAGGCTTCACCAGAAGAGCATCACGTTTTTGAGTCAATGGCATATTTCGTCTATGTATTCTTCATATTTTTAATGTGGTTTTTCTATTCTTATTTATTTTAAATATTTTTTTTAATGTAATCCATCTGATAAGATTTCGATTAATTTTCCCATAACAAATGACAGATAAATTGCCACCTCAAGTAATAATAACACGTGTCAAAAAGTTAATTTCAAAAAAAAAAAATGAAACTATAAAAAATAGGAAAAAAAAAACTATTTTTCGAAATTAAAGGTTTTTTTTTGTTTTAACACTTATCACTGTCACTGCTAGTTGTGGAAAATTTTACGAGAAATATTTGCCTTTCTTTTTTGCTCTATTTTTTAGTCTACTCAAGGTGCCAAAAAAGTGCTGTCACGATGTATGGTAGGACAAAGTTCATTAATGAAATAGTGAGCTGTATAGTTTGATCTTTCAATTCACTCATCTCTCTGAACCTGATACAAAATGAAGCCAACAATGAAGACAAAAGTTCATCTCAATTCTCACACATTGTTTTCGTTGCAAGGGCGTTAATTAATTATCGTTAATTGCCCCGTGAACAAGACTTTAGTGGACTTTTCCACACCATAATTATCATTACCCCATGAACAAGACTTAGTAGACAATGTACGCTTAGGCTATTCTAGGCGCTTGAGCTCAAACGCTTAGGCTATTATAGGATTCAAAAACATTTTCTAAGGATTAACACTTGAGCTCAACCATACTTGTCTCTCAAGTAAGCTTTTGTATTTATTTGTTTGCTTTGCTTTTGGGCTTACCATGGAATTTTGTAAGAAACTAAGAATGTTGCTCTGGTTCATCTTGAGGGGTTTGAATTAGCAGACTTGTTAAATTTAGATTTGATTAGGCTATTTTAGATGGAAAAGAGTGTTTCTTGTTGCTTATCTTGTGCTGGATATGCCTTGGGAATTTGAAGGGGTTGGTGACAATACACACTGTTTACTTAAAGTTGCTGACTTAATTGGTATTATGTAGGCAATCAAGATGTTGTGGCTGAGAATTTTTTGTTGTGTTTTTGCTATGTCCTACTGCTACTTGGTGCTCCAAACAGATGCACGAGTTACAGATCCCTCAGAAGGTAAATTTCTGTCCAAAAGTTGTAATTTTTGTTTTTATTTTTTTACATTTCCTTGGATTTTTGTGTACACAGTTCCAAATTTCCAATATATTACACGTGCAATAATACAAATGATGTTTTCTTCAAGGAGATATGATGAATGCAAAGTGGGTTGACATGTGTTTTACTTGGAAATATGTAGTGTCACTTGGCTGGAGAAGGAGAGAAAATATATAGTAGGAGTACAAAATGATGGAAATTTCTTGCTAAATATGAAAATTACTCTTCAAACATGTTTTTAATTGTTTCAGTTATCCTGGTAGCAAAGATGAAAATCCCTATTCTTCCCTGTTATATGGAATGAAGTGCCACTGGACAGAACATTTTTTGGTTTGTTAAATATGCCCTTGTGATGTTGGGAAAAAGAAGGAAAAAAAAAAAAAAAAGGACAATTCTGGTGAAATCCAGAAAGAATTTGGCAACTTTTCTGCTCTCATGTTCTCGATTCACTGCCTTTTTGCAGTTGATGCATTGATAGCTGTCAAGAAAAAATTGATTGATCCTATGAAGCATCTCAGTGACTGGAACAAGGGTGATCCTTGCACATCCTACTGGACTGGCATTTTTTGTTTTGACACAAATGGGACTGATGGATATTTACATGTCCGAGAACTGTATGTTCTTTTTGTACTATTTAGTTTTTTTTTTTTTTTTTTTCCCGATGAAAATCGAGATTAGATTAATTTAAAAGAAGGTTGCTAGCCGGTAGCTGGCAAAGTTTATAAAGATGAGACTTGTAAGCAATCATAATAGTATCTTAATGAAAATAAAAACTATAACAATGCAATTTGTTCATAATCTCTATGAAGACTATTATTGGCTAAGGTATCTGCAACTGAATTTCCATGCAATATATAGTTTTTCTGTTATTGATGATAATATTTATATCTCTTTGATTTTGATGAAAAAAGCAACTGTAGTATGATACAGAAGCATCTACTACTATGCTTTCAGTTGCTTACCCTATTTTTACGAATCTAATATGTTCTCGAGATGTGTTGTTTCTTTAATTTACAGAACTTGGTTTGAATGCTTAACCTTTTCCAGTTTTGATGTAGGCGGCTGCTGAATATGAATCTTTCTGGACATTTAACACCTGACCTTGGCAAACTTTCTCAACTTAAAATATTGTGAGCCGCAAACTAATTCCTGGGCAAGTCTACAATGTTTAACTATTCCTGGACAATTCTTCTGGTGATTCTAATGTCATTTCTTTGTGCTGTCTATTGCAAGGGATTTCATGTGGAACGAATTGATTGGCAGCATACCAAAGGAGATAGGAAACATCTCATCTTTAGAACTCATGTAAGTTGGTTCCATTATGAGTGTGTCCTTGGGAATAAGTGTGATCCAAGAATCATGTTAATTATTATTTTGACCTATCTTTTGTTCCAAAAATCAATTGATAACTCTAGCTTTTGAAGAATTTTTTTATTATTTTGAAAAGGCTCAATTTTAGTCATGGTGATTATGAAACTCTGATGCAAAATATTACTGAAGTCAATGTTGTTTAAAAGGCACCAACATATCTTACAGGCCAAGAATCCATGAGATAAATCTAGATCAATGATATAATTTGCATTAATTTAACCTTATGTGATTCATTTCGCGCGCAGGCTCTTGAGTGGCAATAAATTATCGAGTTCTTTACCGGACGAGCTTGGCTATTTATCAAAACTATTTGTACTGCAAGTCGACCAGAACTATATCTCAGGTCCAATACCAGCATCATTTGCCAACTTGAGCAGCGTGGAACATTTGTAAGTAGATCTTCAAGCTAAATGCCACTTCAAGTTTCCAAAGAGTGTAGCTTTTTTCAAAATATGCTTTCTGCTTGGATGTGATTTGTGCAGCCATATGAACAACAACTCAATTAGTGGTCAAATTTCACCTGAGCTTTCCAAATTACACAATCTTCATCACATGTAAGCTTATATTCCAGTTACTTTGTTTTCATTTTCTTTGGTTCAACAATTCTCTTGATGATTGATCTTTACTGAATGTTGTTGATTGGTAATTGAGGATACGTTAAACTATGTTTCACAGGCTTTTGGATAATAATAATTTATCTGGGTATCTTCCTCCAGAATTCTCACAATTGTCGGAGTTGCGGATACTGTATGTCTTCTTATCACATTATCTAGACTGCTCTTTAGCTTTACTTAATTTGCCAATCATACAAGGTCATTTTTCTTAGCGTAAGTGCATTTGATTAGTAGTTGCTTGTTAATGATGGTGTCCGTCCTGGAAAGAACTTAGCAGCCTTAATTAGCATGCTTTTAATTATATTGCATATCTTTTAATCGAGTAAATCCATTGATGCTTTTGCCCTTTCACGATGCAGTCAACTTGACAACAACAAGTTTAATGGCTCTGGAATTCCAGCTACCTATGGAAACCTTTCCAAATTAGTAAAATTGTAAGTTTTATTAAACTATTTCTGCCTTCATTAACTTATGTAGAGGAGGAAAGTGCATGCTCTTACTCTCTTAGCTCTCTCTACATCATGAAGTCTTTTTTCTGGGAAACTGACTGCATAAATCTACTCATAATAATGATGAGTTCCGTTTCTGGGATCGGTATGTCTCATGTGTTTTGCAGTTGTGTTGAGTACCAAAAGAAATGCTGACTTTTTTTTTCTTTTTCTTCTTTAATCCTCTCTTTGATGAGGTAGAAGTCTCAGAAATTGCAACTTACAAGGATCCCTACCCGATCTTAGCAGCATACCGAACCTATTATATTTGTAAGTTGTATCTGAATTTCATACTATAACACAATTGTGGCCTTTCGGTTAATGTTATCGAGTTCCTATTGTAGGGATATAAGCAGGAATGAGCTTACTGGACCCATACCACCAACACTTTCTGATAATATGAGCACTATGTAAGTAACCAAAAGTAGACTTGTAGTTTGTTATATTCAAAAGGGAAGATGAAACTAGTGAATTAAGGACTCTACAGATTTCCATCAGTGAGACTTAATCATCTTCTTAATGTGAACATTTTCAAACAATGTTATAAGCATAACTTATTCTAATTTCAAAACCTGATTATAAGCAAATTAGTTTTTTTCGTAAAGGTATTCCTATAGTTGAAATTTATTCTTGTTGGATGCAGTGATCTGTCAGATAACCATCTTGATGGATCTATACCTCGAAGTTTTTCAAATCTTCCTTTTTTGCAGAAACTGTGAGTCTATCTACTTTTCTTTCTTCTCTACTAAGAAGTTAATAGTTCAAAGTAGTATCTTCAGAGCATCATTTATATTCTAAATGTTCCTTTATTACAGGTCACTTGAAAATAATTTGTTGAGCGGCTTTGTGTCAGCTAACATGTGGCAGAACATGTCCCCCACTAAAAGTGCTGGCCTTACACTGTAAGAAATGAAAAAAAAAAATTGAAATGAAATCAGTAACTCTTAGCATGAATTTTTATATTCAAGAGACTCGCAAACTGCAAAATACTGCTAACTTCTCCTTCTGCATAAATGAAAAAATGCAGTGATTTCAGGGACAATTCACTTTCAAGCATTTTAGGAGAACTGAATCTGCCGGATAATGTCACCCTGAGGTAGTATTTTCATAGAGTAAAATAACCTATTCAGTTGAAGTGATCTGCTAAAGCAATCAATGCAACACTCATCATACTCAAACATTATCCAGAAATCAAAAGGAAATGACAACAAATGGACAACGTGTTGATACTTTAGCATACCATGTTTTTGGTTTTATACGCATCAATCAGATTTTCATTATCTTAGTATTTTTATTCAGGCTTGGAGGCAATCCTATCTGCCATAATACAAACATACCAAACATTATCCGGTTTTGTGAACCTGAAGCTGGAGGAGATGAGATTGCTGAAAGGCAAAAAAATTCAAGAGTGACATGTTATGTTCAATCATGTCCAACAGATGGCTTCTTTGAATATGTCCCAGCATCTCCTGTGCCATGCTTTTGTGCATCCCCTCTCGGGATTGGATACCGTCTTAAGAGCCCTAGCTTTTCTTATTTTACTCCATATATTAATCAATTCAAGAAATACGTAACTCATTCTCTTAACATGAGCCTGTATCAGTTGTCAATCGATTCCTTTCTTTGGGAAGAAGGTCCTCGTCTAAGGATGTATTTGAAGCTCTTTCCTCCATCTAATGTTGCACACTCAGCAATATTTAATGAGACTCAGGTTCAACAAATTAGAGATATATTTTCAACATGGCGATTTCCTCCAGATGACTTCTTCGGATCATATGAGCTTCTGAACTTCACCCTACTTGGACCTTATGCACAGTGTATGTACTGTTGCTACTTCTTTTCGGTTAAAATGAAATGCTGAATCCTTAGCTAAATGATGTTGAATTAATCGTTATGCCCTTATGTGCACCTAACACTGAGTCTTTTATATATATATATATATATGAACAACACTAGTATTTGGGATCATATAAAGAAGCTAGAAAAATGAAATTTGTTGCTTTTCTCCAAAACAAAAAAGTACCAAAAATATCATATCGTAAGCTTGCAATTATTCTTTACAAAATAAACATCTCCTAAGCAGTTAGTCTCGAAGTTACAATTTCAATTACATATTCAGTGTCCCTACAAGTAATCCTGGAAACACGGGTTCGATTGTATTTAACAGCTCTTGACATCTTTTATGCAGTGAATAGTATAATTTTTTTCAATATTTTCATAATAGTCTGAATTTTGTTGGTGATATAAAGCATTTCCTAATTTACAATTCGTCACATCCGTCAAACTCTTTGACGTAGACAGCTGGTTTAGCTAATTTACTGAAGGTTGTGTGTTTTATGCCCCCATTTTTTATTTTTTATTTTTTTCCCTCTTCCAACAGGGAATGTTGAGATCCATAAGGCAGGCATCAGTAAGGGTGTTTGGGCGGCCATAATACTAGGTGCTATTGCAATATTTTCAGTAGTCACAGTTTTGTTTGCTGTAATTAGCCATTCCAGATACCGTCAGAGTCTTCCAAGAAAAGATTTATGTAAGTAAGTTTGTCAATGTGACTAATAAGTATTGGTTTCTGTTAGTACTACCATATTTGGTTCGACCATATTTGTCAGTGTGACTATCTTGTTCATTTGCAGCCTTAACGGGGCAGATGAAAATTGATGGTGTGCAGCGCTTCACTTACAAAGAAATGGTCTTGGCTACCAACAACTTTAACAGCTCCACACAAGTTGGTCAAGGAGGTTACGGAAAGGTTTATAGAGGTATTTTACCTGACAAAACTGTGGTAGCTATAAAGCGAGCTGAAGAAGGATCTTTACAAGGCGAAAAAGAATTTTTGATGGAGATCAATTTGTTGTCGAGGTTACATCATCGAAATCTAGTTTTGTTAATTGGATATTGTGTTGAAGAAGGAGAGCAGGTAATATTTTTATTGGCAAGCACTTTCTACTATCCTTTTTGTTTTGTAAAATCAAATGAGAAAGAATGTATGGAAGTGTCGCTAGGTTGGAGGCATGGGTGTCAGAGCATGTTTGTTTAGAAATGCATGTATGCGCATAAGGATCCTGAAAGAACGCTGGCAGTACTGTAGGTTCCTGGAAAGGACATTTTGCTTTTATTTAGTGTGGTTGAAGTTCTTGCCATCTAATGCTTTTATGAGCAATACAACAGCTGTTTCAGAATGTGAATTATGCTTAGGAGTAAATTGTATTTATTTGTTTCCAATTTCTATGAGGTTTTCTTCCCAACTAAGTTTTTTTTTCTACTTATTGCACATCAATTGAGTTTTGTTCCACCATCTTATAAAGTGTTTTGGGAGTCTTTTTTCCCAAGAAATTAAATGGATTTGATATGATTTATCATCTATATTTGCGAAGTTTGACATGGTTACAAGTGAAATCTACTAACATGTGTTATTTGTTGATGCACAGATGCTAGTACACGAGTTCGTGCCGAATGGTACCTTACGGGACTGGCTTTCTGGTATGAAAATCACCTAAATTTTACCTTTTTTATCTACTCTATATCTCTGCAATGCTCTCCTAGAGAGCTTACATTAACTTTACAAATCTTTAGATCTTAGAATCACATGCAATAAAATGCTGGAATGTGTGATAGGTTCAGAGTTCAGCAGAAGGTGTGGTTTACCTGTTACTGAGGGCTAATATTGGAAGGAGATTTAGGCAATCCTCTCTGCATTTTCAGACACTAGACATTTTTTTAATTTCCCCAATTACTATTTGTATATTACTGCTTGATTTAGAACATTTAACTTTCAATATATTGGAGTCTGAAAATTGATGGCTGTTGTTGTATGCTGCTAAAGCCAAGGAAACTCTCAACTTTGGAACAAGGTTAAGCATTGCTTTGGGTTCAGCAAAGGGCATCCTTTACCTCCATACTGAAGCAGATCCTCCAGTACTCCACCGAGATATCAAGGCCAGCAATATTCTTTTGGACTCTAAGCTTGCTGCTAAAGTTGCTGACTTTGGACTCTCCCTTCTTGCCCCTGTCATGGATGATGAAGGATATCTACCTAATCATGTATCTTCAGTAGTGAAGGGAACTCCGGTAAGTTTCACTCCATTGCGTGCTCATAAATTGATTATGTAACTTTGTTTCCAAATGTTTTGGAAAATGGTTTCAAAAGGTTAACTTGTCTATATATATCGCCAAAGAATTTAAAAACAGTGAAAATGGAATCAAATACTTCTAATTTGGATTCTCTTCCAGGACAGATTACTTGTAGCTCTTCTTGTTTTGTATTGAATATGCAGGGATACCTTGATCCAGAATATTTTTTGACACGCAAGTTGACAGACAAAAGTGATGTCTATAGCCTTGGAGTTGTATTACTAGAGCTATCGACAGGAATGCAGCCAATATCACACGGCAAAAACATAGTTCGCGAGGTACATGCGATAAGCATTGATCTTTCCGAAGCTTCGAGTTCTCTTCTACTTACACTGCATTCAAATATTGATCTAATAACTTCTGATTTAACACAAATGGGTTAAAAAAAAATTGATATCAGGTAAATACTGCTTGTGAGTCGGGTATGATGGTCTCTATCATAGACAGCAGAATAGGTTCCTATCCATCCGAATGCATCGAGAGATTTGTAGCCTTGGCACTGAGGTGTTGCCATACCGAGCAAGAGAAACGGCCATCAATACTGCAAGTGGTCAGGGAACTAGAAAACATTATCAGAATCTTGCCAGAAGCAGATACTACTAATATAGAATCTGCTTCCGCGTATTCCAGGAAGACCACACCTGCATTTTCCGGCATGTCAGCATCTTCATCTTCATTCTACACAAGCAGGGATGTATCCAAGTCATCCAGTCTCTTGGGAAGTGATCTTAGCAGTGGTGTCATTCCCGTCATACCGCCTCGTTGATATCAAAACTAGAAAACTCTATGTGCTTATTAATCTCCCCCCACCATCGATCCCACCCCCACAAATTGTGCAGTTTAGTAAGATATGTAAAGTGGGCTTGATTCCCAAATGCAGCATTGTAATTAATAGTAAGATATCTGTTTTCAGAGTGAAGAATTCTTTCAAAGTGAGAAGAAGATTAAATCTCGCTGATGGAAATATGTACAATCAATAATTAAGATGTGGTCTAATCGGCCAAGCGCGAGCTGCAGCTATTTGGGTTAGTTCTTTTATTGGCTCTTTTAAATGGAATGTAGATGATCTTTATTAGATAAACCACCAGAGATATCTGATATTGGTGTTGTTTTGTGAGATCATTATGAAAATTTTTATGTAATTTTTCAATTTCTACCGAAATCAAAGGTTCGGATAATGCTATTGCTTGGATGAAAAATTCTTCAACTAATAGATCCTGGAAGCTTCAAAATTTGTCTCTCTCTCGTATTTACAGAGAGAAGAATTTTGTAGCTAACGTCAATGGCAAAGTATAGTGTATATAGGTTTAATGATTTCTGAACTTGGTTGCAACTTTTTTCATCAGCATCTTGCTGGTTTCTACCTATAATATAGCATAATCATCCATTTCATTAAATAGGGAATTCACACGTCATGCATGAGATCTCTCGTCTTCATCGCTGCATTCACTTAATTCTCCAGGACTCCAGGGCAGATAGAGCGGGAACCCAAAGCTGCCTTTTGAAATTCCAAATTGGCCTTGCTGGGAAAAAAAAAAAAAAAAAAAAAAGGGTCAACATATAGCTGCCTTTTCAGCTTTTGCAGAATTTTCTAACATCAAATAAGCCTGCAGAGATACGATCAGGAAATGTATGCGTGTAAAAAATATTTTTATTTATTGTATCGTAATAATTTATTTTATCATTCGGTATTTAACTAATTATTTCGTAATTATACTAGTACTTTGTTAAAAAAAACGTTGTTATTTTCAAATATATATATTATTATTCCTTTCTGATTAGGAATTATTTAATAGATTCATTAAATGAACTGTAAAAAAATTATATAATTATTAACTAATTGGATCGGATTGAATAGCCGGTACATTGGGTGAATGGCCATCCCAGATTCTGTACAACATGTTTTCATTTATTTATTTATTTTTGAAAATGTCTTGAAAGCCCGAAGCCTATGTACAACCAGGCTCCGGATTCAATGTGAGTCTGAATAAAAGGGTTTGAGCAATGCCAGGCCTGGGCTGCCCATTGAACTCACCCCTCCCTTTTTCGGGTTAGAAAACAGGCTCAAGGCCCAAAAACAGATGCAAAACCTTAAACCCCGTTTAATGGCAAAAATTGCTTCCATTTTATTGTGATTTGATAATTTTAGGTTTTTATTATTAATTTGCATAATTTGAACCCTGAAGTATTAGGTTTTGAACAAATCTTATACAAATTCTCTTTTTCTCGTTATTTGAAACAGTCATTCAGTTGCCATTACGCGAAATATTTAAAAGACATCATTCAAGTATTTCATTGTTAATTTTAAAAAAAGTTAAAAAAAAAAAAAAATTGTTCTTGTTTTTTTTAGTGTCATTATAACTTAATTCTTTCTATTTAAAATTTTCACTATTAATCCCTTTGATTTTTCATAGTCAATCAAATTGTTATTTGTATATAATTTTTAAAAAATTTAAAAGACAATTTTTATGTAGTATCATTATCCATTAAAATACTCAAGTTTTATAATTAATTAAAGGCTTAATATACCAGAATGATCATGAACTAAGTTTCTGCTAATCATATTATAGGATTTTGTATTCTCATAATTGATTCAAATATATAATATGCATTCAAAATTGTTAGAGTTAGAAAACTATTTTTTAAAACTTTTCTAATTTTATTTTATTTTTAGTTTTTTAAAGATAGGTTCAAAAAGTGAAAGCTCTTTTTGATAGAGAACCAAAATAAAGTTAAGTGATAAGTTTAAGAATTTTTTATTTATTTATCGATAAATGGGTGAAAAAAAAACTCTACTGAAAAATAGAGGAAACACATTTTCATTCTTTAAAAAAATTAATAACATAATACTTAAACGACGTCGTTTAAGTAATGCGTTTAACAATCAATTGAATTGACAATTACAAGTAATGAAAAAAAAAAAAAGAGAGAGATTTGAATAATATTTGTTAAAAAAAATTGATACTTTAGAGTTTAAATTACACAAATTGATAAAAAAAAAAAAAAATGAAATTTTCAAAGTGCAATAAAAGGGAGAAATGTTTTGTTGTAAAACTCTTTAAACACGTAATCTAAAGTCATCTACGCATATCTTTTTGCAGACTCTCATTAATAAAATTTAGATCAGTTTCTGTCAAAATAAGTCTCATGATTATCCCTTAATTCCTTAAAAATTGCCAATGCAACACTTTAGGATTAAGTTTATTAGATATTGCGTACTTGGCCATATAGATTATAAGATATTCCAATTCAGCCCCTAAATCAGTAAAGCTTAAAAATGTCTAAAGTTTAAAGAACATAGATTTCTAGAAGTTGAGATAAAAACGATTCCATTTGGAAAAAAATTTATATTTTCTGTTGCAAGCTATGAAACAATTTCAGATGGAGGGTTATCATTAAAAGTCTTGGATCTTTTGGGGACCTAATTGACAACTTCTTATTTATAACTCAATTAATTGAGAGATGGATTTACAATTAGGAACTTCTTTGTCCCTTGCCTTGAGAAATATGAGTATATGTAACTTGAACATGATTGTATAGACCGTAGAAAATAGACACAATTGATTTTGACAAACATGTGATTACATGAATATTTTGAAATTTCAAAAATTAAATAGTTTATAAAGTAATAAATAAATAAATAAGGCAAAATAAAAGTTTGGGAAGAAAATTTGACTATTTGTGGGAACAAAGTGAGGTGAAGTGATTTGTTAGAAATAAATTTTGACCATGGGAATGAGTAACGAAATTCAAGAGATGTTGAACATTGCTAGCTGCCTAGCTCTCCTCTGTCCCTAGCAGAACTTCGAGCGATGTTTTGAGAAAAAGTTTCATAAATTTTCTAATTCTGTATGAATAATTTTTTTTTTTTGATCAAATTAAATGGATGAATTTTTTATATATATACACGAAAATTGGTCATAAAATGTATCGTTTTCTAAGCCGTAAAATAAAAGAAACATAAAAATAAATAAATAAACTAATGTTGTTATATATTTATGTTAGAAACTTAGAATAGGAGAAACTAAAAGAAGGGGTACCTATAAGATGTTTCTCAATTAGTCCCCAGCCTACAATATGTTAGAAAATGAATAAAGAAAAAGAATATAATAAAAAAAATAACAACAATCATACAATACAAATATTTTAGGTAGTTCAATAATAATCTTTACTTCACAACTATACTAAGAGTTCTTATTAGGTTTTATCAAATAGCGGCCATAAATAAAAATGATGTTGTCTCTATTTATAATGTGGGTAACTAAAATTATAATAAAATATCTAACGAGCATATACATCTGACTTAATATTTTGTAAATCTTCCAAAGGCTTCGCCACCAAAGCCCCGTAAGAGACGATGCTCTCTTGACCCCTTAACCCCCACTCGTTAATTAACTAGCAAGATTATCGTATGCATACCGTCCTATATAGTGAGTCTCGTCTACACCAATTTCCACAATTTAACACAATGCTCACCAATTAAGTCCCAAATTTATCTTGGAATCCTCAATTCAATCCTTCCATCAATAAATATACCTATATGCTCAGCAATTGGATCCTAAATTTATTGACAAATTCTCAATTCCAACCTTCTATCTACAAATATACCTAACATTGTTAATGGGATGGGAACCCAATGGAGAAAAAGATTAGGTGCATTTGTTGAAAGAAGGATCCATTTGATGATTTTTGGATACGTTGGCCACGGAACTAGTAAAATGTATAGATTAGGAATCCAATTAGGAAAAGAGTTACAAGTTGGGGACTAATCTGAGGTTACCCCTAAAAGAAACATGTTGGGTCCAAAGATTAGGTAGGGAGATGAGCTATATTTATCTCAAAAAAAAAAAAAAAAAGGTATAGAAAGATATAGGTAAGTGATGATGCATATGCTTTGCTATTGTTATCAAATAGTCATAGTCAAATATTAATTTCAACATGACGTGTCTTGGCCTTCAAAAACCTTGTGCAAGCATTCTCAGCGGAATTTCCGCAATACCAACCGTTGAATAGGTTACAAAATAACATATACATAATTTATCCAATAATTCTGGACAGGATTTTAGTATAATCCACTTCTCTTTTATCTCTCTTTCAGACACTTATTTTATCAAGTTGTTAAGGAGAAATATCAACAATGCAATTTCCATGGAAGCATGTGACTGATTAGAAGTACAAACCTCCATTTTAAACCTTCTAATCAGCAAATAATTATGAAGTCGGAAGATAATTAGCCAGTTAATTAAATACGTTGAGGTTGTCAAGATTATACAACCAATTGGTTGGTCGAAATATATAAAGCAGTACTCCTTTTGTACTGAAAAATTATATTATTTGACTTTTTATAAAATTTAATGAAATTATTAATTATTATGATATGTTAGTATTTTTTATTCATATTTTCTTAAAAAATATATATATTTTTTAAATGGTTGGTTATCAAATTTAATTATATATTAATAAAAAATATTAAATTAATTAACAATCAAGTTAAAAATAATTATAAAAAAATAATATAATATTGAAAGTATTTTAAGAAAAATATATTCATATGTCCTTAAATAATACTCAAAATGTTACATCTATTTCTAAATAATACTCAAAATGTTCCATCTATTTCTAAATTTTTAATTATATCTCATATGTTTTTTAAACATTTTATAATATTCAATCTGTCATTTCATCTATATTGAAGAAATAATTGATAATTAATTAAAATTTTTAAAATTTCTTTGAGGAAGAGAAGTATATATTGAAGACATAATTAATAATTAATCCATCTATATATATAAATAATGAAAACATAATTATATAACAGGTCGATGTCCATAGATTCTGAAGATGCAAATTGCAGATGGCTAAACGCCAGCCTTCGATCTGTCTGAATTTGATCTAGTTTATGTCCTAAGTACTTGTATCCTGCATGTCGCCAATTTTTTAATGAACATGAAAGCTAGCTAGCTACTGACCAGGAGATACGTACTATTGAAGATTGTTTTCTCCCTGATGATCACATTTCCATGCAGGCCATCATATGATTATTTTTTTCCTGATTATTTTTAAAAACTACAAGATATTATTATATATACAAGTTGGCATCAAGAAAAATCTTTAGCATAATTTAATCCAAATAGCTTTCATTATAGTGTCATTACAGGATTATGATAGCTTAATTGGTGATCCATAAAGGAAAACCATAGTCTGATAAATTCTTATACCACTCCTCAAAATTAGTATCTTCCTTAGTTGTCACTGATCTAACTCTAAAAGACATAAATTTTTGAATAAATAAGTAAATTTGTTCTTATTTAATAATCCGAGTCTCTAACATGTTTATATATGTATATATATATATATATATATATATATATATTCGTCTCTAAATATTGTTTTAGTTTTTAATTAGTTGCTTACCCATGCTACGTTGCGGGTCCGGTAAAAAAAAATCATTTTAAAATTTTAATTTTGTAAAATTATAATTATTTATTTAATTTTTTAATAATTTTTTTGCTTAAAAAAATAAAATAATTTTTTTAATGATCAAATACATATATTTTAACGTCGAAAGAATAATAATCAAATATAATAAAACTTTAATTATTAAAATCAAAGAAAGATCACAAAATAAAAATCAAAACATAACTAAAAGTTTTACTAAAAAAAATATAGTTCCTTGTAGGGAAAAAAATCAAATATAATAAAAATTTAATGATCAAAATAAAAAAAACATTTACAAAACAAGGACTAAAATAAAAATAAAATTCTACTAAATTTAATGGTAAAAAAAAAAGAAAAAAATAACAAAATAGGAATTATAATAGAAAGAAAAGCTTCACTGAAAGCAAGCAAAAAAAAAAAGGATAGTGAAACTTTATTTAGTTTTAGTATAGTAAGGATAAAAATCAAACATCATAAAAATTTAATAACTAAAATACAAACGTATTACGAAATAGGAATAAAAAAAGAACATAAATTTTTACCAAAAGCCAAGAAAAAATATTTATTATAGGGAAAAAAATCAAATATAATAAAATTTTAATGACAAAAATTTTTAAAAATTACAAAAAAGAGACTAAAATAAAAATAAAAGCCAAAAGAAAGCCTTAGCTACGGCAAGAGAAAAAAAGAGAAACAACTTTAAAGAAAATACTAAAAGCAAAGAAAAAAATATTTATTATAGGAACAAAAATCATATATAATGAAATTTTAATCACTAAAATAAAAAGGAAGATTACAAAATATAGACTAAAATAAAAATAAAAACCAAAAGAGAGACCTAGCCACAGCAAGAGAAAAAAAAACTAAAAAAAAATGCTACAAGAATGAATAGTTTTATGTGAGGGGATGAACAGTAATATGTCATTTCGATTTTTTATTTTTAATATAGACAAACTTGTTGATTGAAATGTTCCTCGTTGAAATGAAAAAAATATGTATCAATAAATAAAATCGCATGACATGTATGTTTTATTATTGAAATCTTTAGATTTTTTTTTTTTTCATTTCAATCAAAAGAATTTTGTTAAAAAAATTGTTTATAGTCGAAAAATTGATCAAAAAACAAATTTAAAATTTTAAAATTATTTATAAACATAATAAATGTAATTAAAATTACAAAAATATATTAGAGATTTGGATTATTATATAAGGACAAGTTGTATATTATTTATCCTAAATTTTTTTAAGTCTTTTTTCCGTTCAACTAGCTTCTTGATGAAACATTAATGATAAACTTGGTGTATTTGGATTTAATTATAGAGAAGATGATGAAAATGATATTTGAGAATACATAATATTGATTGTTTCCTGTCTCTATCTTTCTTAATAATATTGACAAGTTGTTGTTAGTGACATTTCATCCACCAAATACTAGAGACCCAAATTAAAACATCAGCATCTTTTTATCAGAAGAGTCATAAATTGACCACGTCAGGCAAGAGTAGACCGTACTCCAACCTCAAGAGCCAAGGATTCGAGAGGATATGGCAGGTCCTCCTATTGTACACAATTATGTACGATAAATAAAATTCTAAATTCTACATCACGCTGTCGTGTAAGAAATTGTAAAAGGAAATTTAAGAGGCAAACTTGTCAGTACGTTGTCACTCCCTTGAATAAATGGATACTTAGCTCATACGTAGCCAGAAAGAATATCTGAATTTTCAAAAAAAAAAAAAAAAACAAAGATTGAGAAGAGTCAATATCGATTAAACAAAGGATATATAAATAATCATAGTTGACTGAATTTGTAATTTATTTTTATATTTTTAAATGTGTTTATTACGTTTTCGTATGATATCTAATTTTCTTATATGTTTTTCTATCAAGTTTTTTTCATCTAAATTAACATAATTATATTTTTCGTTCTAAACATACCGTTTAGCTATATAAGATTATAATGTTTTTTACTTTTTAAAAAAAATAAAATTTTTAACTAATATTGAATAGACTTATTTGTGAAGTTGCAGAGAGTTATCAACACTTCACAAACTCAAGATATATATTGTTATGGACCACGATGAAATAATTTACTGGTACAAAAGTTATTGTTTGTCCATGTGAAAAGGCTGGTTTGAAAAAGAAAATGAGCTTTTACGGTTGACAAATAAATAGTAAAAAACCTTGTTTATTCTTTGACGTATGATGTATCTCTTACTAATCTCTACGTGACTTGGTCATCTGTCAGTTTCTTTTTTCTTTTGGGTAATTAGCTGTCAATAGAGTGAATAATTATAAATTAGTCCCTCATGTTTTTCAAAACTAATTAATTAATTTTGTTTTAAAAAATAATTATTTAATTTCAGACGTTTTAATTCTGTCATAAATTTAATTATTTTATCAATTTTTCTTTAGAATTGTGATAATGCGTTCTTATTGAAGCATTTTTTTTTTTTTCACAAATTACACTTCATTTGATGTTTTTTCACTTTCCCGCATTCACGATCTCTTTCCTCAACTATCTTCAAAATCATGATAAAACAAAAATTCATTTTTATAACCCTTAACTCCATCGTCCACTCCGTTTCTTTCTTTTTAACAATCTCTATCATCGTAATAAAGCAAAAGTCTATCTTTCATATTATTTTCATATCCTTTAATTTTCAATAATATGAAATATAAGATAATGATGAAAAAATTATAAATATTTTGTGTTTTTAATTCATCATCTCTCAATTTGATAAAAATAATATTTAAAATATTATGTATTAATTTAATGAATTTGGTTTACTAGTGCGAAATTAAATAATTAATTTTTCAAATAAAATAAAAAAAATTAATTAATTTGTTTTTCAAATCGAGAGAAATTTACTCATCAAAAGATTGATCCTTCTTAGCAGGCAACCTTTGTGATTAAGATCATGAGCTTTTAATTAACTCATCAAAGATCAATTGAACATGGGCTGTGATCAAAATAGAGATTAATTATAGAAGCAGATGAATCTTCAACGAAGCATAAAATATCGAGTAATTAAGCTGTCTCTGCACTTCAGGACATGACATGTAACACGTATGTAACGCATCGTAGTTTGCCTGAGATTACAAGAATATTGTAAATTAATTGAGACAACATATTTTAATCACCACGTTTTGTCATGCTGCCCTAAGCCTGGAAATGACATAAACAAGTCTTTGAGCCGCGTCTGGCGGCTTCTTTTGAATTAAAGAATTACTTTCAACTGAATTTTTTTTTTAATCAAAGATTTAGTTATCTTCAAAGATGACTGATTAATTAGAACAATAAGTAACCATAAAGCTGGTTTCTTTCTTATTTTCTTTTTATTATTTTTTTTGTGCATAGATAAAATCATGTCGCTTGCCCACAATCAGTTATTAGACTTTTTTTTTTTTTTTAACTCACACACCTAAGACTCTTAGCTCTATTAAAATTTGAATATGTGATCTCTTGTTATAAGAAATCATTATCATTGAACTACAAGGTTTTTTTGATAATTATTAAACATTAAAAAATTAATATTAATAGATAATAGTTAACGAGATAAGAAAAAAATTATATTGTCATGACAGATTGAATTTGCTATCATTAAAAAAAATAATAGACTATTCTAGTCTTTTTTTATACACGAATTTTTTTTAGTTTAAATATTCTAAATAGAATATTTAAATTCGTCATCTTTTTCTAGTACAAAAAAACTAATTTCTTTCTTTATTGATATTTGAATAATAAGAATATCTAATACTATATCTTTAAATTTTTTTCTTTCTTTTTAACATATTTAAGTTATTTGACTTGAATCAATTTTGAAAGTTATTTATTTCAATTATGAATTGCAAAAGGGAAAGGGAAATATGATCATATTTTTGTGGATCATAGTTGTAATTACATTATTTGTTTCATATACCAATCAAAATAAGTTTAACAAGGTAAAGACTTTTCCATTTCTTACTACAAAATAATAAAACTTATTCTGAAAAGAAAATAAAAACAAATACAGAGGTAATAAATACTTCCCATCTTTTTCTATATATTACATTATTTTTTTTTTTTTTTTTGGTCTTCTAACCTGGTTTGGAGGAAAGTTTCAAACTAATACCACAGCACAAACCTTTAGACCACAAAAATACTCCATAAACCGTCTGGCAGCCTCCTTGAATTTTCTTCTGCCCTCATGTCTTACACATTATTCTGACCACCGCTGGAGGTCTTTCTCATTGCCTGAAGAGCTTACATCCAGTCCAAATCATTCATCCAACTACAACCATGATGAGAAAAGTTTCTCCTAAGATGTTAGATTATCAGCAATATTGTCGTGCCAAAACCCCTATCCTCTCTGCCATGGTATGCACTGCTATAATCTTCTTTGTCTATGCAAACAGTATTATTTCTACTATTTCTTTGCAATCATTTTCAGTTGAGCCCCAACAAATTTTTGGGGAGCTACATATTCATACAACTGAAAGACAGATCATGTCGACGACAATCTTTAAGCAACCACTGCGTTCTATGCAAGACGAGATTAAGGAAGTTGATCATAGTGAACATAAGAGTTCTGTAATTCCACCCCTCAATCTCACAGAAGAAGAAAGAATTATGTGGTTTCGGAGAAAGGTACCGGGCTTTGAGATTTTGAAGTCAGACAACTTGACCAAGGAATTTCATAGTCGAGTTCTTGAATTTTTCAACAATGAGTGTTCTGTCCAGTTCTTCATGACATGGATTTCGCCGGTAACATCCTTTGGAAGAAGAGAGTTCTTGGCCCTGGAAAGTGTGCTCAAAGTCCACCCTCATGGTTGCTTACTGATTCTATCTAGAGATATGGATTCCATACAAGGTTATAGGATTCTGAAACCACTACTTGACCGCAAGTTCAAAGTTGCTGCAGTTACACCGGACTTGGCCTTTTTGTTCAAGAACACCCCAGCAGAAAATTGGTTTGAGGAGATGAAGAGCGGGAACAAAGACCCTGGTGAAATTCCATTGGCTCAGAATCTGTCAAACCTCATTAGACTTGCAGTCTTATACAAGTATGGAGGGATTTACTTGGATACAGATTTTATTGTCCTAAAAAGTTTTGCAGGCTTGAGGAATGCAATTGGAGCACAAAGTATTGGTGTGTCCAAGAATTGGACCAGATTGAACAATGCAGTTCTAATCTTTGATATGAATCATCCACTTCTATTCAAGTTCATAGAAGAATTCGCTTCGACTTTCGATGGAAATAAATGGGGCCATAATGGACCCTATTTGGTCTCCAGAATTGTGCAGAAAGTGTCTGAAAGACCTGGATATAACTTCACAATCTTGCCTCCTATGGCATTCTATCCAGTTGATTGGAATAGGATAGGTGGTTTCTTCAAGAAACCAGAAAGCATTGCAGAATCAAGATGGGTAAATGCCAAGCTACTTCAGCTAAGTGGGCAGACTTATGGGATACACCTATGGAACAGACAGAGCAGTAGATTCAGCATTGAAGAAGGAAGTATCATGGGCAGATTGGTGTCGGATCATTGTGTCATTTGTGACTACAAATACAGCTCCTGAAAAAAAAAATTGAATAGTGATGTGTTAAGTTCCTTCAATGAGATAGCTGCACCGGTACAGAGTCATCAGATACAGAATCAACAGGATCCTCCCATTGGTTAAAAATGAGTACACTCGTTGCTTGAAAAGCTCTTATTTCTTGTAACGGTTTTTTGTATCTTTTATTTGTTGATTACTTTTATCTTTCTTGATTTATACCAATGTAGATAGCATTATGAGGATTCTTTTTTTCTGAATTATGGGCAACTGATTGTTTCATTTGTAAGTTTTTCAACATTTGAGTACAAGGTTATAATCTTTTTTTTTTCTTTTCTTGAGCCAGAAAAGAACTAAGGTTACATTCTGATTTCAGAAAATTTTACCACATATCATAATCCTAAACCTTTTCAATCTCAACCTGAAACTAAATCTCCTAAATCTCCATACACGAAACCCTGGCAACCTCCGAAACGACTTTTTTCTGGTTAACCTGGGATTGCTTTTCTTGGCCTTTTTATCCTTGGAGACAAAATCGTCACTCCTGCAGCTAACAGAAGCAGTCTTGCTAGCTTCATCCAACCCAGGATCACTAAAATTCCCAATCTGTCTGATGGATCCCCATGGATCATGAATCTCATCCTCAGTATCGCTTCCCCATAGAGGAATAGACTTTATTATTGGCGAGCCACTGTAATCCTGAAAATGTTTTGCCAAACTAGTATGCTCCATGTCAAATAATCTCCTCAAAGACGTGCTTCCAACTTTCATCAAGTCCAACAAACTGCTACTTTTGTGAGATGAAGAGAATGAAGAACAGGAAGCAGCCGAAGATGACAATGAAGGTGAAGATGAAGACCAATACAATGATTTCTGATGCTCTATAATCTGTCTGACCCTTTTCTTCTGATCTTCAGTGTTGATGAAGCAAGAGGAATCATCATCCTTCTCTTCTGTTATCTCTGATATCATCGCAGTCTAATATTTTTATTTTTACTTTTTGTTTCCTCAGCAAATGAAATGGACAAAAGACAGTTCTTTAATTAAGGAGCCAAAATTTATCGGAGTTAGATGCTGACAATCCAAGAAGAGATTTGGGAAAGCCGGCCATGACAAAATGTTGGTTATATTTTTGTCTTTAGGAAATCTAAGTTGGTTCTTGGGCACAAACATAGATAACTTTCCTATATGCCTTTGGAATGCTGGATCTGTTAATTAATGGAGAGAGTACGACTAAGGACAGCCACTCTAGACAAACTTGTTGAATCTTACTGTGGTGGTATTTAGTGAATGTCTAAATAGTTGCTTCTTGTAGTAGCTTCTTAACACTGCTCTAATAAGCAACCAGAATTGGAACTAGTCCCCCTGGAATCCTTCATGGAATTGTAAATGAAATAATAACTGAGGGTTACTTACTTAACAAACAAACCAAACCAGGAAATGAATTCATCAAACGAGGAATACACGGGATGTAATTGCAGAGAAGCATAAATAAAGGCAGGAAAAATCCATCTCTTGGGTTCTGTCAAAGACCATAATAAGACGATAAATTAATGATAAGAGCATGCTCGCTGCTTGACAAGAGAATGTCTCGGACAACCAGAAAATTCAGAAATCTTGGGATTTTCCTTAAGCAGGTCATAAATGCTTATCCTTCCTCAAACTGACTGCTGTGGCTGAGCATGGTTTAGCATCTTAAATAAAAAACTTGGACCACAGCAGGATCCAAAAGGAAAATAAAAAACTACTGTTGTCGCAATAAGATGGGCTTAGTCAGAGTAACTTAGCCCAAAAATTGCCTCAAAAGCCAATCCAAAACTCTACCATATGGAAGTACAAGCAGAGTAAATCCGAAGTCAAAACAGGGGATCTAGACCTTCAAATTACACCACCTCCTCCTCTTGATGATACCTTGAAAAATATTTTATAAAAAAAAAAAATTAAAAAATTCAAAATTAGAAGGGTTAAAAATATTTGTAAAATATATTTTTATATAATTTATAAAATATTTATAAATTATAAGAAAAAAAGTTTAAATTTTATTTTCAAAATTAAGAAGTTAAAAATATTTTAAAAATATATTTTAAAAAAACATAATTAACAACGAAATATCAAAATGACATCGTTTTAGCATTCCAAGTAACGATCAACTCGATTGATCATTACACATAACGAGAGATTGGGTAATTTGAATTACATTTGTTCAATTTTCAATACTTTAAAATTCAAATTATACAATTTGATACTATAAATTTAAAATTAAGTACAAATTATCTAATCGTAAAAAAACAAAAACAAAATTTGTCATTAGACCACTAAAAAAGAGAGAAACAAAAATCTACAAAGCAAACATAACACATCTTAAAGTTGGATGGAATAATGCCGACACATGACCGTCCATAGATCTGCAAATGACATTTTAACCTGTTATTGATGATGCCTTGAGTTTGCATACCCAGGTTATACCTGACAGACAAATTGCAGGTCGTGGAAAGGAGATGAACATGGATATATTTGGGAAAATGCACTTATGTCCTGCCATGATGGGATGCGTTTTTAATTTGTCTTTAGTTTTATGAACACATCAGTTATGTACAAAGCTCGTTTTTTTAAAAAAAAAAAAAAAATCACACGAAACCATACCTCTCTTTCTTTGAAACTTCCTCTCATCTAAATTAATTATGTTAATTTAGACCGAAAAGATTAAGAGAAAAATAAATTAGAAATTCAGTTATTTTATAATAACAAAATTAGCTCAGTTAAAGATATAAAACATATTAAAAACTCATGACATTATATATAAATACAGAGCAGACCATTTCTCCGGATACATTGTATAGGCCAGCAAGCTGCTTTTGTGCACCACCGTAGTTTAATCCTGATGTTGAATATTTGGAAGCCTTTTTTGTGGGGTAAGTCTTACTTTCCAGTACAATGTTAAAAGCTAAAAACTTGTTAATTCACCTCGGAGCCATCTGCTAGGTAGCAAATTTTCTAGGCTCAACTTGTTGCATGACTATAGCAGTAAGGAAGTGAACAGAACATAATTGTCAGGTTCATGCTAATCATTAATTGGAACACCAAATTGCATTTGATCCTGTAACCAAATAATGCATCTTGCTTATTGGGTCAACATGTATGGACCGCAGACGAAGCTTGGCTTGGTGAGATAGGGAGTAGGAAGGATCCAGGTTTCATTCCATTCTCTACAAATCTTTCTGATTTGATCACGGTTGCGTTCTATGCAACCTTAGAGGGGTTTCTTGGACACAGATTTCATAATTTTGAAAGATTTTGTGGGGTTAAGGAGTGCTGTTGGGGCTCAAAGCATGGATAAGGTACTAATTAGTCATGATGGTTGACAGTTGATAGAAATAAGCTATCCTAGCCGACAAATTTACTCAACTACTAATGGAAATAACAGTAGCACGAAGGGCCTTACCTGGCCTCTAGAGTGATTCAGATGGTAGGAAGCATGCCTGGTTACGATGTCACTGTCTTACCAGCTAATGCATTTTATTTAAGACATGCATGCTCTATTGCAAGCCAATCAATGGAATGAAACCGTCTCTTAAACTGAAGCAGCAAGCTCTGTTCCTTGACTGTCTCCTTAACAGAGGGCTCTTAAACTTTCTTTTAATTTTTCTCTCATCTTGATTTTTTTTTTTTTTTTTTGGTAACATTTTGATTAACAAAATTATGATTGAATACAAAAATTAGATAAACAAAACTGAGTATATATGCATCTGAAAATAGCAATCCCATTAACAAAGGATTCAACGACAAATCTGCAGCTAGATGGGAGCTTCCCATGCAACTTACAATATTCAACCATCTTAACCATAAAATCTCCTAAAATACTTTGCAATTTGGCTACTGAATTCTCATTTTAATTAAAAATTACAATTTCTAAGCCATCTCAACCTCAAAATGGACTTATCTTCGGCATAGTGCCAGTCCCATATGCAAAACCCTTCCAATGCCCTGAATGACTTTTCTTCGGGCCTTAGACACGAAATTGGAGATTTGAATTAAATAAGAAAGAATTACCCAGAAACACAAGGATTGAGAACTCTTAACTTATCCAAGAATTGAACTTTCAATTCAATCAATAGAGAGCCTATATCTGAATAGGTAACCAGCCCTTCAAAACTCAACTGATATAGCTAACCCACACAATGATGCCAAAGGTTAAGAGTATTCATCAAACAAGCATTAAAACTTAATATATCTAAAACAATCATCACCGGCAATCTAACTTCAACAAGCAGATTACTATAGGAAATCATGAAACAACCCAAATGAGTAAATCACAACAACTATCAGAACAAATTCTGAAAACTGGAATATGGAACTCGAGCTTGAGAAATTTATGGAGCAATTGAAGATGAAAAGTCACTAATTCACCATTGATTGTCCAATTGACAAAGTCTGAGAAATTCCTGAAAGACTGCAAATTGATCAACTCTCTATTCTCTCTAAAGATGATTGCCTTTTCAAATGTCTCTACCTCTTATGCAAATTTTCACGCATCCTCTCATTCATGCAACTATAAGAAACACTATCTCTATGATGATGATGCAACTCTTCAAAATTCATTAACTGCCCTTCCATAACCTTCATTTGTAAGTCCCATAATAGCAGACACGTACCTCCACAAATTCTATTTTGAAATCTAAATCTCCAAAGGGCTAACTTCATATCACTCTCTAAGGTACTTGTATATTTCAGCATAATTTGCATCGCTCCAAGCAATTGGAGATCCGGACAAGTGAGAGAGTAGAAATGGTAAAGGAGCTGAAATGCATGTTCTAAGTACTTGGATGCTTTTCCTTGATGAAAATGACGACCTTGCCCCAGAAAAAGAAGATGCATTTTAAAAAAATTTCATGCCTCTATTGACATGAGTTTCTTAATGACTAATGAGAAAAAACACAGAAAATATCACCAAACCCTGTAAGGTTCTTCAGTCTTCACTACATGCTTGGCAAGATGATCTTGTTGAATTTTCCCAACCGAACGCAGATTTACTTGTACAGAGAAAATTAGATCGTAGAGTACGTAGAACAAGACAATTCAAGAGCAAGGGAGTATGGCTCCTACTTTTTTGCACTCTCGACAGTCTAAAAAATCAGTCCAAACCAGTTGATATACAACCTCCAGAATGATTGCAAAACATTAACTCACAAATGTAAAATTCGGGTTTCTTCACAGTATAAAAACATGACAGCTTCTCCTTCAACCAACCTTCATAAGAATAAGAATTTCAGATGCCAAACCAAACTATATATATATATGAAAAATCCATATGCCTTGTAAACTTTGGGCCCCCGTGTGCAAAACAATTTGTCTAAAAACAACCATAATTATTGTCAAACAAAACTAAATCCATTAAAAATCCCAAAGAAAAGAACATTGGGGGTTTGTGGTTTTGGATATACAGTGGAGGTTTTTGAAGGAGACATATGCAAGTGATCCCAAAGGAACGCAGGATATTGAAAAAAAAATAAATGAATAGATTCAGGAGTAACATGAGACTTTAGGGTTTCAAAATTGATGATAAAAAAGAATAGTTGTATCCAAAGGCTGTTAAATATTCTGTATGCCTACAGAAATTGCGCCATAGAATAACCCAAAAACCTTCGCGAGAAAGTATAGAATCCCATTACCGTTTCCGCAAAAAGTAAAGAAAAAAACCTTCGCGAGAGAGGATGGAATCCCATTCCCTTTCTTTCAAAAGATCATAATATAAAGAATCTCATTCCTAACTACCCCAAACCCATCAGCCCCAATATTCCCATTTCCCTCCCTCCTCTACCTCTCTCTCCAACATTCCCTCTCAAAATCTTAAAGCAGAAAAGAATAGAATAATACTGTAACATAACAAAAAAAGAAACATAAGCAAACAGAAGTTCAAAAAAGCAACTAAGAAAAAGGAGACACAAATTCAAAAAGCAACACCTCAAAAGAATAAAATAATACCTCCATGGCCTGAAGAAGCAGCATTCATTTTCTTCTCTCTATCCGCTATCATCGCTTCTCTCTCTCTCTCTCTCCAATCCAAGCCAAATCAAACTAAACCAAAGCACCCATTTTCTTTTCTTCACTTTCCCATCAAAACCCCACGACTGTTTTTGGTTTATTACTCCCCATGAAAGAATAAAAATTAAAGAGAAACCATGACCGAACGACCAAAAACCGTTCGGAAACTACTACTGGAAATAGTTGATGCACGTGATCTTCTCCCCAAAGACGGTCAGGGAAGCTCCAGTGCCTATGTCATTGTAGACTTTGACGGTCAAAGAAAACGAACCTCCACAAAGTACCGAGACCTCAATCCAGTATGGAAAGAGACGTTCGAGTTCATCGTTTCCGACCCAAACAACATGGAGTTCGAGGAGCTTGAAATCGAGGTTTTTAACGACAAGAAATTCGGCAATGGTAGTGGCCGTAAAAACCATTTCTTGGGCAGGGTAAAAGTGTACGGCTCGCAGTTTTCTAGAAGAGGTGAAGAAGGGATTGTTTATTTCCCTCTGGAAAAAAAAGTGTGTTTAGCTGGATTAGAGGAGAAATCGGTATAAGAATTTGTTATTACGATGAGTTAGTTGAAGACGATCATCAACAACCTCCACCTCCGCCAGAGAAGGATCCAGCTCCGCCGCAACAAGAGCCACAAAAAGCCCCGGCGGTTATCATGGTTGATGAAGGCGGGGTTTTTGAAGTCCCTGCACATGCAGAGATTAATTACCACGATTATCACCTCCACCAACAACACCACCATCATCAGAATGGGACTCACTCACCTCCAGTTGTGGTTATCGGGGAGTCTCCACCGCCAGTTGTGCATGTACACTCAGAACCACAATCACAAGTACCTCTTCCAGAGGAGCCGCCACCGAGCCATTGTGCTCCTCCTCTACATTCTATTGAAACACACACACAGTACCATCCAGAGGTGAGGAGGATGCAGACTACGAGAGTCGTGTCCAGTGTTGATAACAGAGTGAAGACCTTGAGGAGGCCACATGGAGATTTCTCTCCGAAAGTAATTTCCGGTAGATTCAAATCTGAACCAACGGAGAGGATCCATCCTTATGATCTTGTTGAACCAATGCAGTATTTGTTTATCAGAATTGTCAAGGCTCGTGGTTTATCGCAAAGCGAGAGTCCTTATGTCGAGGTAAGGACCTCAACTCATTTTGTGAGGTCTAAAGCAGCGTGTTACCGACCTGGTGACTCACCAGACTCGCCTGAGTGGCACCAGGTTTTTGCATTGGGTCATAATAGCAAGACTGACGGACAGTCCGCCAATGCTGGCATTTTAGAGATCTCAGTTTGGGACTCACAGTCAGAGCATTTTCTCGGCGGTGTTTGCATCGATCTCTCTGATGTTCCAGTGAGGGATCCGCCGGACAGTCCGCTTGCTCCTCGGTGGTGGCGATTGGAGGCTGGCGCCGCGGCTGATCAGATCTCCGGTAGGGTCTCGGGTGATATCCAGCTCTCTGTTTGGATTGGGACTCAAGCTGATGATGCGTTTCCTGAAGCGTGGTGTTCAGACGCACCCTACGTCGCTCACACGCGCTCGAAGGTGTACCAGTCCCCAAAGTTGTGGTATTTGAGAGTGACAGTTATTGAAGCTCAGGATCTTCACATTGCATCCAATCTGGCGCCGTTAACAACACCGGAGATCAGAGTGAAAGCACAATTGGGATTCCAATCAGCCAGAACCAGGCGAGGGTCCATGAGCAACCATAGTGCGTCGTTCCAATGGATCGAGGACCTTGTTTTCGTCGCCGGCGAGCCACTGGAAGAGTCGTTGTTGCTTTTAGTGGAGGACCGTTCGAACAAGGAAGCGGTGCTAGGGCACATCATAATTCCTGTGAGCTCAATTGAACAACGGTACGATGAGCGCCAAGTGGCAGCAAAATGGTTCGCGTTGGAAGGAGGTGGGGACACTGGGGGAGGTGGTGGTGCTAATGGCGGGTCCTACCGAGGGAGAATCCATATACGTCTCTGTTTGGAGGGAGGGTATCACGTGCTGGATGAAGCGGCGCACGTATGCAGTGATTTTAGACCCACCGCTAAGCATCTATGGAAGCCAGCTATTGGGGTTTTGGAGTTGGGGATCTTAGGAGCTCGTGGGCTGCTGCCCATGAAAACCAAAGTTGGAGGCAAAGGTTCGACCGATGCTTATTGTGTGGCTAAATATGGCAAAAAATGGGTCCGGACAAGAACAATCACGGATAGCTTTGATCCTCGTTGGAACGAACAGTATACCTGGCAGGTTTATGATCCTTGCACTGTTCTCACCATTGGGGTATTTGACAATTGGCATATGTTTGGTGACTTGTCTGATGATAAACCTGATTGCCGTATAGGGAAAGTACGTATAAGAGTATCTACATTGGAGAGCAACAAGGTGTACACGAATTCGTATCCTTTGTTGGTTTTATTGAGAACCGGGTTGAAGAAAATGGGTGAGATTGAATTAGCGGTTCGGTTTGCTTGCCCGAGTTTGTTACCGGATACTTGTGCGGCTTATGGGCAACCATTGCTTCCTAAAATGCACTATCTCCGCCCACTTGGAGTGGCTCAACAAGAGGCATTGCGTGGTGCAGCCACAAAAATGGTTTCGTTGTGGCTTGCGCGGTCTGAGCCACCATTGGGACCGGAGGTGGTTGGGTATATGTTGGATGCAGATTCTCATGCATGGAGCATGAGAAAGAGTAAAGCTAATTGGTTTCGAATTGTAGCGGTTCTTGCATGGGCTGTGGGGTTGGCTAAATGGTTGGATGACATTCGAAGATGGAAAAATCGGGTTACGACTATATTGGTCCATATTTTATATTTGGTGCTTGTTTGGTATCCGGATTTGATTGTCCCAACCGGGTTCTTATATGTGTTTTTGATTGGTGTTTGGTACTACAGGTTCCGGCCTATGATACCAGCGGGTATGGATATTCGTTTATCACAAGCGGAAACAGTCGACCCGGATGAATTAGACGAGGAATTCGATACAATACCAAGTATGAAACCACCCGATATTATAAGGGCCCGTTATGACAGGTTAAGGATGTTGGCAGCCCGGGTCCAAACGGTTTTGGGTGATTTTGCGACCCAAGGGGAGCGGGTTCAAGCTTTGGTGAGCTGGAGAGACCCAAGAGCCACAAAGTTGTTCATAGGGGTGTGTTTGGCTATAACATTGATACTTTACGTGGTTCCACCAAAAATGGTTGCTGTGACCTTAGGATTCTATTATTTACGACACCCTATGTTTAGGGACCCAATGCCACCGGTTAGCTTGAACTTTTTCCGGCGGCTTCCAAGCTTATCAGATCGATTAATGTAGGTTTTGGAAAAATGGATATAGCAATAGATTAGTATGAGTAGCCCCATTTGGGCACCAAATTGTCGGATGATGGAGGGGAATGTGAAGACAACTGTTTTGTGTTGAAAAAAGTTGTCCCAAATGAACATTGTGAGGAGTGAAAAGTGGGAAGAAAGTAAAAAAGTATAATTTTTTTTTTTTTTTTTTTGAATTGCCCTATTGAGGTTCAAAACTTGAAATAAGAGAAAGGGTGGGGCAAGGCAGAAAACATTTTGGAGGGAAAAGAAAATTGAGTTAAATGGGAGACAGTAATGAGAGTTTTTTGTAATGGTTGTTATGGAAAGTATAAACATAGAAATGCCCTTTCTAATCTATCCTGTTGTGGTTGCCTTCTTATTTAATAGTATCAACAATGGAGCACTATCAATATATGTAAAAACCAATGTATTCATGGAAGCAATAGGAAAAAACAAGGTAAAGAATAGATGCAAGTCTGGCAGCTGACAGTTTTGAGGCTGATTTTCAAAAGAGTTGGACTTTTGTGTACAACACTTCTTTTATCACCCTCTCGCTTATTGCAATGGCCCCTCCGAGTCAGATGCCAAAGCCTTTACATTCCCATTTGTAAATTTCCAAATTTTGGTTTTCATTGCTTTTTTACTGGATTGATAAAGTAGGCTTTAGAGGCAGGGAAAGCCAGCTCCAGCAGAGGGTGTAAACATTATGACTTTTTTGTAAGGACTATAGTACAGGAACTGGTTATGTCATTCCTGCCGTAAATTTCCAAATGTTTTGATTTTTTTTTTTTTCATATGGTGTTATTTCAGGATAGAAGCTTTACTTTTATTTTGAAGACATATCCTGCTTCAGTCTTGCTGCTTAAGGCTGCAGGCATATATGCTTGTACAATATTTATCATATGGTCTGTTCCCTTCAGTTTCCTTACTTTTTTATGTGGCTTGGCAACATATAACGGCATTGGGTCCTCCATAATGTCATTATTTGCTATTATACACGGGAAACAGTATTCCGATATCCATAACTCCGAATCACGATAATGGAATGCCTTCAAACCGTTATATAATAACTTATATATTACATAAAATATTATTTGAATCCCTAGTCAAGTGTTTTTATGACAAGGGTATATGACTTGATTACCTTCATCATTGAATTCATCTTTGATTTTACTAGGCATGGTATGCGTGCTTTTTGTGAATTTGAGTGCATCCTTGGTCTAAAATGTATGACTGCGAATGTCTACCTACCCAATTGCCCTGGCACTAACCATACTTGTTATTGTTGCTAGTCAAATTCATCTCAAAAAGGAGTATATGACGATTCAATTTATGATTAAGAACTTCACAATGAGATAATATGAGGTTTAGTTTCGACTAGCAATCTAATAGAACTTTTCGTGGGTATTCAATTTAAAAATAAAAATAAAATAAAATGAATGTTATTAATCGAAAGAAATAACATTCGAGAGACGAGAGAATTTCATCAATCGAAAGAGTCAAAAATCACTAAAAATATATAAACATCATAAATAAATAAAAATATGACATTTACATCATTAGTCATCGAATCATTAGAAGCTATTTGTCCATAATCAATGACGGATCAACATTTTTTAAATTACAATAATGAAACTATTGAAAATGGTAAAAGCTATCCAACCACTTATAGGAATTTAAAAACTACTTGTTACAAGTTAAACTAGAAAAACTTAAATAAATTTATGTTGAAAAAGTCTTGTAAACTAGAAAAACTCTTTTGGTGATTATTAACATGGGATTCTCAACTTTTCTGGACAATTTAGTATACATAAATTTCTTAGGCCATTCGTGTTTCCTCTCCAAAGCAATGCATATTCAGTCTCGAACTGTGCATGTTTTGCTAAGTTGGGAACCTGTTAAAGCTTGTATTAATCAAACATGTAATGATCATTGGATCACTGTTAATGTCAGGGCTGCCTTTTTGTGCTTCTGTCCTTTTCATAAGTGTAGTGCATTTATATAGTTTAACTGAAACTCTTCATAGATCCATTATCCTTGAGGAAATGAAACCCAAACTTGTGTTCTTTTTTTCTGCACTTCACTCTGAAAATGGAAATATTCTCGGTAACTGTTATTGACTATTCATACGTCCCAACTATCAAGAAAGAGTTTAGTTATTGTTTTCCTAGTAAGAGGCAGATTATATTCCTAACCCCATCTATTTTTTTGGATTTAGTTTTGACTTCGGTATAGACACCTTGTCATACCTCTAGTAGCCGTATATTCTGTAGATGAGCTAATGGGCTTGTGTCAAGAAATATGCTGGTGTCATAGATAATTAGATAGGACTCCAAATTATACTGCAACTGCTGCATTAAGAAGGTTGTCATAGATCACTTAATTATTTAATTATGCCTTTATTTTACTATATTTAAATTTAATTAGAATCAATATCAGTAGAACGATTTGCGGAAAGATCTGTCTTCATGTTCTGTGTGTCCAAATTCCAATGTTGGTTCTTTTGGCAATAAAAGCTACAGTCTGATGGATGACTAGAGCTTAATCGAAAATCTAAGCATGTCCGAAGTTCATGTTTCCAAGGAAGTTGATCAGACTTGCTTGTATCTGTTTTAATGTGCTTGTTTTGCGTTTAATGCCAGTTAATGCCTGTTTGATGGATAACAACATTATGCTAGAAGATTTTGCTAGAAAAGTTAATGGCGTAACAAAAGCCAAGGATTGATAAAGATTGGAATAGGGAGAAGAATTTTCCCGGTTAATGCAGTTCCACTTTTATGGTTTAGTGGGAATCGAATTCTGTGAAGCCCAAAGAACTTTTTTTGGGTGGGAGAATTAGCATCCATATGTACAACTTGTCAGGAGGATATATGACAGTAGCATCATGTTCAATACTGGTATATCTTCAGGTTCTAAGGTTGCAGATGTTATAATAGGAAATTGAGGTAGCAGCTTGTGGGATGATTTATCCTAGCTAATAGTGACGAATAGGACTTCATTTCTTGGAAACATTTTGATGCTGATGGCAATTTCTCAATCAAAAGTGACCAATGGGGTAGCTTGAGGATCAGAGCTGCAAAAGTTGATTGGTTTAAGATCTTGTGGGGTTCTCTTTTGATACCAAAACACAGTCAATTGGAAAGGTTTTCCACTAAAGCTGGGCAGCTTAGATAGGGGAGAAAAACTGATCCTGTTTGTGTTCTTTGCCAACAACAAAATGAGAGATCAGGAATCATTTACTTTATGAGTGGGACTCGGCCTCTGTCAGAAACATATGAATCGGAGCTAGTAATAGTCACTGGCACATTGGTGGATGGGAACAAGGAGTTTGAATAGACCAAAGAAACCTTTTCTTTCTGCCCGGCTTTGTAATCATTGCGTGTGCACGTCTATATTTTTTTTGGAAGGAAAGAAATGCCAAATGGGATTCTGCAGAGTTTACTTTACCTAATGGCATTCTTCAATCTATCAGATTTGCTGTTAAAAGTCTAGATTGATGCAAATCCCTATTTCTAATTCCTTTTCTCTCGAAAGAAAATGGATAACTTTGATTACAATTCGTCCACCATGGCATGATTTGTGAAGTCAAATGTTAGTTGATGATACCACTGAATGGAATCATAAAGGAGAAGTTGTACATGACTCTTTTTTATGGAATTTCAAGTAGAATAGAACAGTGAATTGCGAAATTAAGGAATAGAGTTATTTTTCTCATCAACTTGAAGTCACTGAAAAAAGCAACAGAATTTAGAGATGATCCAGGTATTAAGCCAAAAGATATGGTGTCTATTAGTATTTAAAAACTCTTTTGAAAAAAAAAAAGTATTGCTAAATCTTAAAGTGATACATATGGACCATTTTGTAAGAACTTCAAACTTCAAAGATCAAAGTGAATATATAAAATATTTAACTATGGCATAGTAATCAGATGTAAAGATGCGTTAGTAATTTTCTAAAAAAAAAAAAAACAACTCTGAAAATCTTCAAAAAGGGATGCCGAATAAAAAGAGTGACGAAGCAAAGTAAGGCTAACAGACTCTAGATTTATCTGATGAGTAGTCAGCTTCATTTAACTTTGTCCTCTTCGTTTTTATCAGATTGATTGATTCTTAACAAAAAGAAAATAATAATATAATTGAATTAAATGAGAATCATACCATCCAAGGTCAATTTAATTATTATTATTTTTTCCTTAAAACAGAAGAGTATAACAAATGTATTGTCTGCATTATCTAAAAAAAAAAAAATTAAAATTGAAAGTGACATGGTGTGACAGCTCCTCTGAACTTCAAATTAGTCAAGTGGTTTTATAAATTTTTCAAATATAACCTTAATGATTATAAATTAATCCCTCTAAAATATTTGAAAACAAGAGTGAGTTATAATAAACAAAAATTTTATTCATAATAGATATTTTTTCATAAATTGTAGCTTGCACTTCTACCTATTTGAATGAGAAAATTTTTAGACATGCTGAAAAAATTATAAATTATAAATACTGAAAAAGTATTATATGTTTCTTTTAAGCATTCTAGGAAAATTTTATATAAATAAATTCTTTTTACTGGAAAATTAAAGAAATTTTTTAAATTTTATTTTTATTTTTATTTATTTATTTTTAATTTTTCTCTTTATTTATAATTTGTTCTTTTATTGATAAAAAAAAAAATTGTGCCTGTTATTTGAACATGTGTCGGCTGATAAGCACATCACATGTCCTAAACTAATCATGGTTTGTTTGCTGAACAGATGAACATATTTGACCAATAAAATATAATTAGAGAATCTAATAAACTAAAATAATAATATAAGAAAATATTAAATCAAAAAAATTTGTTAACTTTCGTTTCCCATCTTTTCTATTATAAACCAATCTCTTGTTTAAAACACATGGAATCAACAAAATAAAAAATTGAAATAATAAATATTTTAATTTTCAATTTTTTTCGTATTATAGATCAATTTCTTACCTGGACGGCTGGACCAAAGGAAATCCTGGCCTTGGACACTCTTCAAAACTAACCTCTATCGTGTCAAGAACTTTGGACTCCAGAGTCCAGACACAGACACGGCTGCAACTCCTGAAACCACTACATGACCTTGGGCTCACAGTACTAGAAAGCTGTAACTCCAGACTAGACCTTTCTAGTGAAGAATACCCCAGTAGAAGCTTGGGTTTGATCACACCTGCTTGAAGGATTCTGTTTTACACTGCACTGTCTCTAAATTCTTCCAATTTGATCTGGGTTGCAATGTTATACGAGTATGAAGGGGTTTACTTGGACAGAGATTTCATAATTCTGAAATGCAGTTAGGGCTCAATTCATAGCTGAAGTCACTTATCAGTGGAATAAATGAACCACCTTTGGCAGAAGAGGCCTTACCTAGTCTCTAGGGTGATTGCGAGGGTAGGAAGTATGCCTGGTTATGATGTACCTTACCAGCTAACGCGTTTTATCTAGTTGATTAGATTAAGATACGCAAGCTCTTCTGCAAGCCAAACAATAGAACCAAACTCAGGATGGGTCGAAGAGACACTGCTTAGACTGAGAAAGAGCTATGCATCACACCTATGGAACATGAAAACTAGAGAGCTAATTATAGAGGAAGGAAGCTTCATGAATAGATTAATCTCGTATCATTCTGTCGTCTGCCAAAACAGGTACCATTCTGGAAGACAATCTCTCATAATAAATGGGACGAAGTTTCTCTAGTTGGGAGTATTTGCCTGAAACATAGCAATCAACCAGAATCCATAGATGCGTCTTGTTCAGAGAACAAAGCAGCAAACTCTGTTGCTTGACTAATCTCTTTAATAATAAAAGAACTTGAACTTTCAATTAATCTTTCTACTCCTTGAATGTTTTGGTAAAAATGTATAAAAAAGCTGAATTATCATTTGATTGCGAAAATAGATACATGAAACAAAACATGGTTATAGTCTAGTATATATGCATCGGAAATAAGCAATCCTTTAACAAAGCACCGAATGGCAAAGACAAAAGCTTGCAAGGGAGCGTATCATACAACTCACAAAATTCAATCATCTCAACCAGAAATCTCCTAAATTATTTGCTCTGGACAACTTTGGCTACCAAATTCTCATCTTCTGAACCTATTAGCCAAGCTCAAAAAAAGGGGAAAAAAAAGTTACCACAACTCACAATCCTAAGGCAGCTCACCCTCAAAACGGACTTAAGTCTCCATAGTGGCATTCCCATATGCAAAATCCTACCGACGCCCTAGATGACTTTTCTTTGGACAGAGCCAAGAAAAATTGAATGATTGAATTAACCATTGAAGTAATATCCAGAAACATGTTCTGCAAAGATTTGTTCTCTTTGTAAATGCTTCGCTCCCAAAGCAACAAGGATTGAATATCCTAACTTGTCCAAGAATCGAACTGCGAATCTTATTAATAGAAAACCTACATCTAAATTGGGAACCTGCCTTTCCAAACTTTATTGAGATGGCTAACCACAAAGTGATACCAAATGACAAGAGTGTTCATCCAAAAAGCATTAAAACAAACAGGTAATCTAAATCATTGAATTTAAAATAAATGGTATTTATCATATGCATACCTAGAACTATTACCACCAGTAATTCAACTCCAACAAACACTTTCATGGAAATTCATAAAATCATGAAACAACTCAGAAAAGAAATCGAGAAGCAGATTAATCTACCAAATCGTAATATGCAATTAGAATGTTCATACAAGCTAATGTAACAACAAGAACGAGTTTTAGCAATTACAAGGTGAAAGAAATCAACAAAAAATAAAGCATAATGCATCTCATATTAACCAAGTGACTCATCAATATCAATCTTGACAACCTCATCATCACCAATTTTATCTATCTTAGGTGGAGAAGAAGGAACTGGTATTCTTGGTGGTCCTCTTCCTTTCTTCTTATCCCTTGGCCTCGCCTATATAACATTCACAGCCAACAACACATATCAATGCTTAACCATACAAAATATAACAAAATTGATAAAAACAAAATGTACCCACGTTTCCAAATGAGTGATTGAATCTCTTCCCCCTTGCAGTCTTCCTGTCTCCTCTTCCACAGTACACTAAAACAAGAAACAATTTAGTACCAAAAGAAAACCAAGATTAGATAAGAAAATGAAAAGAGAGGCTTTTTAGTTGTTACCAAATGGGAGTGAAGTGGTAGCGGTGGATAGAGAAAGCGAAGAAGTTGAATGACAAAGAGAGATTTGGGATTGAGAATAGGAAAGGCGAGAGCTAAAGTTGAGAGCTTGAGGGGTCAATGGTAGAGCACCCACCAAGAGTGAAGCCATGACCGGAGCTTTGGTTTTTCAAGGATAAGGTCTTTTTCTTTACGGGTCCCCTTCCCTCTCTAGCCAGTTTTATATGGATGAATAGAGTGGGCTGTGGGCCTATTCCAATTGTTTTTCAGATATGAACTAACTCAGTTGAGAATAAACAATCATCTTCTTGGGCTAAAAGAAGTCCAGATGATTGATGGGCAGGGCCTTAAATTAGTTTGGAGACTTGTCTGGGCCTAACGACAAAGACAATTCGTAATGCAAAAATGCCTAAGCTGATCAGGCGGCAATTGTTTAGGGCTAATGGCCTTTTGGTTCAAGATGAACTTGACCATGGGCATGGATTCATAGATAATTTGTTGGTTCAGTTCAAGTTCAGTTTTTGTTCTTATAGGTTCGGTTAACCAAATGGAAAAACCAATGATCACCTTAATTAGATTGCTTTTAGGTCAAACCAACTAAAATATGATATCATTAAATAATTATTTGTGAATAATGAAAATTGAATCTTCATTTAAACCAAATTAAAATAATTTTCTTATTGCTATATGGATGAATAAATAGTTATATATTTTATATCTTTTAAACTTTTATTTCATCCAAATACAATCACCATAAATCCACATCTCGTTTATGTTTAAAATTAAAAGTATATTCGAGAAGCTACTAATCCCCTCTGTGTAGACCAATTTGCCTCAAAAAAAAAAAAAAAACTTTGGATGCCATCTATATTGTCTTGAATTACTGAGTTGATACTGTTTCCCTAAAAAAATGAATTCCATTTATATTACTGGGTACGAAGTCTTTTAGATCTTTAGCATCATTAAGAGTAACATGTCACTATTGTAAAAAAAAACAATCTATACTCATGTTATGATGCTTATTTCCACATGCATGTGTGCATGTTTTTGTAATAAAAGAACTATCCTGCTACAGTATCTAAATTTATGTTCAACTCCCATGACCTATCTGTCTTCTGTATGTACTTTCTTCATCAGGATGCTTATTTCTCAAGTGTTCTTATATTAGAATATAGAAAAGTTTCTCATCTTGCAAGCGCAGATTCTGACAGTGGACCTAATCAATTAAGATTGATGCAACTTCTTGCAACGATAACTGTAAGAATCTTAGCAACAATAATCTCTGTTATTATATATTATCAGAAGCTAGGTGGGTGCCTTGTTGATGAAGATTAAGCTTTTTGAAAGAATCAAGAAAAAAGTGTATATTGAAAGAACAATTGGGAATATAGTTGTTGGCAAGTTCCAAAGAATTATCGATGATGAACTCATTGATCCCAATCTATGTACATTGGTATATTTATGTCATAAAACTGGATCTTTGGCTCAATAATACTTATGCGGTATGGCGTCACTTGTAGAGTCAAATATAGCATAATTTCTTTTGTGAGTGCCTATCAATTCCAATTATTGAGGAATCCCAAGACTAGTCTTTTTCGGTGATTTAATCTTGATCCATTATCGGACTAGCTAGTTAACCAAGATCAAAATACGTGGCCTAGTGGTTTTGTTGATATTAGGTCGTGGAGTTATTCTGATTTGATTAGTACCAAAATTCAATTTTCATTGAGTATACGTAATCAACCACTAAGCAATGTGGTATAACAGTAAGCTGTTTTGATTTGATTAAAACTAAAGTTTAATTCTAATTATCCATGAATGACTAGTCATAAGTATTATTTAATGATACCAAGCTTGAGTTAATTTGACGTAAGATGGAGTCTAAATAGTCAACTAAATGTTAAATATATTTTAACACTAACTTATCCAGAAAGTGATAGATTTAATCTCGATTGATACAAAAATTAATTTAAAAATGTATTATTATCTGTAGATGTAAAAATAAAATAACTAGTCATTATTATTTCTTAATTATGTAATGTTTGAGTTAGTCTAGCTTACATAATAGCCTAGTAACTGATCAAAGACATAACACAAAACGTATTTTGATATTAGTTCAAATAAAAAAAGTTATTGATTTAGTTGTCCAAAAATATCCCACTAATTGTAAGCATCCAAAAAAGAAAATCTTGTTAACCAAAGTGACAAATTTGATCTTGACATCCACGCAATGATTGATAACAAACACCAAACTAGTCAATATCAAACACCAATAACAAACCATTTCTTGCTAAATTCTTAATAAGGCCTTAGAAATATAAAAAATTTCAAAACAAATGTAAAAACTTCCGTAGACAATTTAATGGGAAGTCGAATATATTCATTCGTGAAAGAATATCCGATCCATACGCATATCAATTTCTTTGTATTTTCCAATTTACAGTGACTTAAGTTTGAAGATAAGGTTAGTAGCACCAACTAAATATTCCTCGTAGATAAAATGGCTCAAGTCTTACCAAAACGGAGAAATTGAGCTATGCGATCTTACCAAATCTGATTACCGTAGGCCCAGCTACGAGGTGTAAAATTTGACTAATGACTAACAAGAAGTAAAGGAAAAGGTTAGGCAAATGGTGCTAAATTGTTTACTTGTTTTCCACTCCTTTTCAAGCATAGTTGGTGATTTAAAAAATTGAGTTTAATTAGTTCAAACTTAAAGAGCTTTCATTAGTCATCGCTCAGCACTGTCAATGGAGACATTAACACACTTTTTTGTTTAACAACTCAAAGAAACAGCAAAACGACACCTTGATATCCGCAGCATGTGAAAGCCCAAAAATAAAAAAAGAAAAAAAAATCTCGAAGAGGGATCAAAAGTAGGGCTCGTAAGCTTGATTAATGGGAAATTAATTATGAGTTTTTGATTAATTAAGCAAGAAAATTGTTGTAAGGTTCATGTATGACTTCACATGTGAATTTAAGAAGAGAATATTTAGGAGTAAAGACTGGCACGTGACAAACAGATGAGCCAACGTGCAACCCATGTGAATGTGGAGATGGCCCACGGCCCACTATCTAAACAGAATCTCTAAGGTCAAAAGAGGCCATTAAAACATGTCCACATTTGGCCTTTAAGACCAATCCACCTTACCACTCGAAGGAAAAAATTGAGAAACCCACACCGTTTTAGTAATTTTTTTAAGGTTAATTAATAATGCTTTGGAAACATGATAAGTAATAATGACATTACAACTAAGAAAAAGAAAATTTTATGACATCCCAAACAAAAAAAGAGAAGAAAACTAAACATATATTTATCTGATTTAATTAATTAACCTATGCTTTAATAGCAAAGGAATCATCACAATTCAACACACTATTTTATCAACTAATTTAAGTAACCCCCAAAAATAAAAATAAAAACAGCAAAATCCAGCACACATCACATGTAGGAGATATATTGCTATTTCCCCTGTATGATACAAAATATGAAGAAAAAAAGAAATTCTTTTTTTTTTTTCAGCTGAATTGCTTAAACGAAGTCAGCTCAGGGATGCGGGGCTGGTGGCGCTGCCGCTGCTGGAGGTCCTGCTGGCTTGCATTGATAGCACTTAGCGAAGAGCCCAAACGTGTCTACTTGCTTAACAAAGTTGGTCATGCTAGCCCATCCGCCGAACCCAAAACCAACCACCAGCACCCACACCACCACAAAGGCGTTGATCACAAACATGGCCGTCCAGCTTGGCATGAAGAAAGGAGGCTTTTCTGCAGCATTCTGACAAAGCAAAAAACAAAACCCAAAAATATTAGAGAAGTTAGGCCAACTAAATTTTTTTGTCAAAAATATGGAGCTACGGCCTATAATTTGAAAGGAAGGGGAGGGAGTCAAGTCAGCCAGCTCATTTAGGACAGAGGACAATACACCAACTGTAGCATATAACTAAATGAAAAAGACATGCCACCCAACTCAATTCTTCTTGTAATATTTCCAAATCCAAGCCTTAAATGCTCTCTTGTACATTTCTTGTTGTACCATCTCTCCCTCACTCACTCTCCCTCTCTCTCTATCTCCAGTCTCCACTCAGTTGGGACACTGTCCCTGTTGAATGTGGGAATCCCCATCAGAACGCGGAGTGTCCACTCACACTATTATGACCAAAACCCCCTAAACGATCAAGATAATTACAACTTTACCAAAAAATAAAAAAATAAAAAGTGAAGAAAAAGGTTTCAAGTCGTTAATTCGGCTAGTAGGGGACTACTACAGTGAGAGTGAGTGAGTGAATAAGAAGGCGGCAGCATTTTTACCTGTCTCGCGGTGGCTTTTCTGTAAGTGAGCATGTGGGCTAAAGATGGGATAATGTAAACTGTGAAGCTAACCAAAAGAGCACCAACTGCTGAGTTGATAGGTCCAAAGAATGGGAAGATTATAGCTAAAAACCAAATGGGTATCACCACCGGCAGCCTTGCAAGTGCCCTCAAGCAAATACTCTTCGTGTCATGCATCCCTATTACCTTCTCCCACACAAAGTATAATGGTGTACATGCAAACCCAAATGTGATAAACTGCGCCATTCCAAAACAATCACCTCTCAGTCAAATTCCATTAAAAAGAAAGAAGAAACACGACATTCTTTCAAGAGAGATCAAAAGTTACTAGACCTGGTGAATAAGCATGAGGATCACTGCAGCATCACGGAAACCGTTCTTGGGGAGGAGAGAAAAGGCATTGGAATGGTTGAGGAGTTGGTCACCAAAGGCCCAATAGACGGCGGTAGCTGAAGGAATTGTTAGGGTGAACACGTAGAGAGTGGCTAGCAAGTAAATGTACTTGAACTTTTGTGGCTTCCACATGGCATGCATAATTTCCCTGTAAAAATTAATGGATGAATTCCCCTTTTAAAATTGAAAGGATTTGTAATAAAAAGTAACTTTTCATGTTTATTTATTCATTGTCGACTTTGCCATTAAATCAACAAGAACTATTAACGGCTAAAGTAATTAAGAAGGGGATTAAGCTGGCTACCACTTAATTATCCTTGTACACTGTTAAATGACTCAACTGACCTCGTGCGATGACATTGGATTCTCATTTTCTAGGTACTAGTTACTTGCTAGACTCCATTAGTGAATCAACAAAGTATTGAGTCCCATGATTAGGAAACTAGGCTATGTTAGGTAATGACAAAATAAGACCAAGATTAAAAGGTCAGGAGTGCAGTGAAAGAAGAACACAGGACCATTTTACTGTTTATTTCAATTCTCTCCTTGAGAAATGGAAAGGGAACAAAAACATAATTTTGCATGATTTTGTCTGTGGGTCTCGAACCCCAACATGACCGGCAAAAGCTGCAAACAGAAGCCGTGTAGAAACAAATGAAAGAAAAAGAAGAAGAGGATAATAAAATCCTCGAGTACGAAAAGAAAATGAAAAAAAAAACAAAAAACAAAAAAGCTTACACAGTGACAGCATGTCCACCAAAGGTGTAGAGGATGTTGGTGGCTCCGGTGAAGTAAAGTACCAACTTTGTAGGAGCAGAATGTTTCACTCCTTCAACTTGGCCATGAACAAGAGCTCCTATGGCTAAGTACCAGGCAGTATATGTTGTCATGCCAAGACCAAGAAAAGACCAAATACGGTAGTTGTGAAAAGAGGGAATAAAAACTGTGGTGGCACAACAAGCTCCAAAAATGTAAGTCCAAGTCCTCTTGTCCAGATGGTCATTGATGTAGTAAATATTACTGTTCTCGTCAACAAAAAAACAAGAAACAGTTAAAATCAAACAAGAAAGACATCAGACCTTTTTTCTATTTCTAATTCTAGATGAAGACTAAAATAGAAAATGATCATAAAGTTCTTACCTTGCACACGCAATGAGCTGAATGACAGATCCAAAGAGTAAGAAAGTACAGTTGAAGGCAAGTCCTAGTGCCTTCCAGTATGGACCCAATAACCCATCAAGCACTTCAAACCACTGAAATCCAAAAGCCAAAAAAAAGGGATCTTTCTAAATACATTGGACCAAAAAATAAAAGAGGGTTTTACTAGTTACAGCAAATCAAGATATTTTAGCATTGAAGATTGGGTGGTGGTGGTGGTTTTGAGAAGCAGAAACAAACCTGTATGACATGGTTCTTGAAGTTAACGTTCTCCTTCTCCTTTCTGCTTCTGTACTCAATGTAAAGCACACTTATAAGGTAAGCTGTCCAGCTTCCCAAAATCCCATAGAATATCTGAAGCAATACCCCAGATAGTATGCCAAGCTGAGAGAAAGAGTAAGGCAGTGTCAGCAGCACTTGTGCTACCTGTAACAGAAATCATCAGAGTTAATCACCTTTTTAAGCAACAAAAACCATGAAACCAAAAGATATCGAGGTTTTAGAAATTGGGCTTTAAGGGGTGTATAGAGTACTTGATTGGAAGCACAACTGAACCAGGCATCCCAGACAGAACCACCATGCCAGAGAACGCTCTTGACACTAAACAACGAGAGGTTCTCTTCTTTCTCTTCTTCTTTGCCTTCATGTTGATCTGTCTCGCTATAGTTAGAGACTATTGCTTCTTCTGCTTGCTTCTGAGACAACATTGTCTTAGTTTTTTCACTAAAAGCAACGTCTAAATCCTGGTAGATCTGAAACATATAAAAGACAGTAAATGAGACAAAACATATACTACATAATCAAAAAATAACGCAACCCCAGAAAACGAAAGCCAATAAGACTCCCCCACCTCCCAGATCCAAATAAGATCATCAAATTCCCTCTTCCAAACTTTTAAAAAACAGTTGAGTCACTTACAGTCTCCACCCCACATAAACAAAAAGAAAAAACAAAACAAAAGGAACAGAGTTCTGAACTAATTTTTTTCCATGTATCCTCCACTTTCAAACTAACCTCGTTTTGAAATGTCTCTTTCGAGTTGAGAAAAAGAAAGAGAGACTGAAGAAACCAAATCAAGAATCCCTCTGTGACCCAAAATAACTTTGCTGATATATATTCAGACCCTGACTGTTATGTCCTTTCCTTGACTCTGATTTAACACCTTTTCCTTGCTTTCAGAATGGAAAACAACCAAGAAGCTCGCTGGCAGCAGGTACAGCACAGTTGTGGGAGAGTTCATAAGATTTCTCTTCATTCCAAGAAGCAGACTTAAATGCCTGCAGCCTGAGCAGCCCAAAAAAATCTCCAGCTACGGATCTATTTAGTAAAAGCTCCACTTTAATGCGCCACCAATCTGAATAGACAAAAGGGGCAGAGCCGAACTTCAAAGACGGCGAGACCTCGAAAGCAGGAAAAGATACACTAATAATTATCAATGGTCTTTGGAGATGTTGAAGAAAAAAGATCCTTTCCCCTCCTATTCTCACCTATTGACGAAAACATAAATACTCACTCACTGCTCAAGTCTGAACTATAGTACTGCCTGCTACAGCTCTAGCTGTATTATAGTCTAGTTTTTTTCCTTTTAAAATTTTTCCCTTTGAAACCCCTCACTGTCACTCTTTAAAAAAAGTGGAAATGAAACCCAAAATCCCTTCTTGTATTCTAATTCGATTCTTTTTCGGTCTTCGTTTTGGTGTTTGTGTGTGCGAGAAGAGAATTCAGAGATCTAAGAGATCGAGACTTCGTTCTCATCACTTGCGAAGGACTGAACCTAACCATGGACGTTCCTTTTTATAAGCACCCAAAAATCAAAATTAGATTTTTACTGTATTACCACCATTTATTTTTAGCTTTATAATAAATGTACTACTGTATAGTAGTATTTACATTTTTACTAAATGGATTAAACTTTTTTTAATTTTAATTTATTTAAAAATCAATATTTGAATCTCTTTTTTTTTATTAGATTTGGCTTCTTTTAAACTTTATTTTTTAAATTTAATATATATTTTAGTTTTTTGTCAAAAATAATAGTCACATAAATAATTATCTAACAAAAATTATTGAGTAAAATTTATTTAGAATTTTTAAAAATTTTGAAATTATTTGGAATTATTATTTTTCTACTGATTTTGTATATTTTTAATGTTAAAAAAATAAAATAATATAACGTGATTGCAAAACTTAGTTCAAAATACTAAAATTTAAAACTTTTAGTAAGAAGTGATAGCGGTTAAATTTAAAAGTAAAATTTTTTAAATAAATTAAAATTTCAAAAAAAATTAACCCATTTAACCTTGTATTTTTCTAACTATAACCTGGGTCTTAAGTCCTTTATTTTTATTTAAAAAAATATTTGTATTTTTAAATTAATTTGTATAGCATCTTCCTTGTTTATTTCTAACACGTTTTGTATTATAGATTTTTCTAAATAATATAATTTTGTATTATACTTAGAGAAAGGGTGCGGTGTAATTAAGCTCAGATCCAAATCTCAGTCAATAATTCCATGCATTTAATTTCCCAATTAATTCCTTTTCCACTTTTATTCATTTATTAAACTTGAAAGGATTATTCAATCTTAATTAATCGAAGCTCCATCAAACACCTTCCCTGTCCCCCCAATCAATTTGCAGATTCCATTTCTACGCTTAGTTTGCCGTGCGTGTGATGCACGTTTCTTCAACGTTGAATAAAATAGATGATTTTGATGTCACGTTATTTATGAGTGAGTGATGGGAACAATCTCCAATGAGAGATACGATAGGATTTCTATATCGTGGGCCGCCGAACCCAACCAAATATATGGAATGGAGGCCCATTATTGTTTTATCGTCATCTTTTTACTTTATTATAAATTTATTATTGTTTTTTATTACTTTTCGTACACTTTAAAAAATTATTACTCCTTCTATCCTAAAATAATAGTATCATTTAACTTCTTACACACTTTAAGAAATTTATGAACTTTAATGTCTTTTTTGTAATTTTTTAACAATACTTTCCTAAAATATCGTTTTTTATCTTAAAAAAACTATCTAATTTATTCTTGCATTGCAAAATAAGAGTAAATTTTTTTCCATGTAAACTTCTATTTGACTAACTAGCTTGACTGGTTGATTCAAGAATTCCCAAAAAGCTAAGGAGATGTGTGACCTTTTATGCTACCATAATGCAAACCTTAAGCTGCTTTGGAAGAGCTAAAACACACAGATATTTTCTTGTTTTGACGTTTAGATTTCAAAATATGGGTATATGATGAAAAATCTTTAACGAAGAAATTAGGAATAAAAACGACAGCATTTGTTCTAATTTAATGTAACTATTTTGTTATTTGTTTAATTTGTCTATTCATTATTTATTCGTTAAAAAAAATATGTTGTTAATCATTACTCATCCCACATTGCTAGAAAACAATACACATTTTACATCCATAAATATTTGGAACGGATTTTCACTGTATTTATATCAAAATCAAAATTTGGTATGTATCTAAAAATGGAATAATTAAACATAGATAATTTGTCATCTCCATGAGAAATAGGGATAGAATTCAAATCATTTACCTCTAATTAATTTTTATTTTTTTTAATTTTTGAGGTATCTTAAGTCTAAAGATTCAAATTAATCCTTAATTATTCGATCGAACGTACAAGACGAGATATAACTATCCAAACAATTTTTTATATACGTAAAGAATCGAACTTGAGATCACTTGTCGACTAGAACTCCTTCCGTTAAAATCAATTTTTTAGGTAAACAATCTTTTCTTTTATCATCTAAACTAATTCCTCAAAAAAAAAAAAAAATCAATATGTATGACATTGTTTTAGATGAACAAAAGAAATAGATTTAACTTTATTTTTTAAAAAATAATAATAAACTAGCTAAAAATAACATGCAGTTGTGAAAGTAAGAAACCAGTAGCTAACATCACCATCAATTTTATCACGCATTGACCCTATCACAATTTCTTAATATTTTACCATAATATTCAAAGAAAAAAAAGAAAAAGAAAAAAATGTTACTCGTTAGTTTTTAAGAGAATGTCATCTATGTTTTTTTTTTTTTTTTTTTGTATAGACTAAAAATTTTATCAATTACCATGCCATTTAAATATGTTTTATATTAAATATCTAAAATATCCATCAATATTTTTTTATTTTTTTATTTTTTATTTCATGCCCATTTAAATTTTAAATATTAGGTATTTGATATAAAACATATTTAACTATAATATAATAATAGTTATTAATGAAGATGATATAGTAATAATTTACAAAATATAAATATTAAAAAAAATTAATGATGGATTTAGCAATACTTTTTCTAAAAAAAATACATCATTTAAAATTTTAACTTTATAAATATATTGAAACAAATAGAAATAGAAATATAAATAACGTAGAGTTATTTTTATATGCCAAATTTACCGAAAGACACCATTTAAGTGTAAACGCCAAAGTAATATGAAATTGGCGCAGCCGCAGCCTCACCCACAGGCGTAAATTCCTCTGTAACTAGATTTGGCTCAAGCCGAGCCATGATGACCCGCCAAAAAATTTTGGGCACGCTTGAAAAGATAAACACGCGCGCAATGAACCACTTTAACCCCACTTGCCGCCGGCTCATCATAGGCGACCTGCCTTTTCATCAACGGCTCATTGTGGCCCATCATCGCCGGTTGGATCTATCCTTACCACTCTTTTATTTTTCAATAATTCAACTTTTTGGTTTTCTGACAAAAAAATAATTTATAGAACCTTCTCTCACCTAAAAGAAATATTATTTTTTATTATCATATGTTTTTCCAAAAATGTAATTGAATTTTACCCTTTCTAATTTATGGACCCATTAAAGAAACTTTTTTTTAAGCATATCTAACCGTTCATTACAATATATAACCTTAATGTCATATTATCCTTTTATCCAAACAAAATTGTCTGATATTATTAATATAGCAAGTTTCAGCTTGCAGTTTTTTTTTTTTTGTTCATGATGCGACAGAATCTTTTGTATTTAGGTACAAGAACTTAAATTACACTGATTGTCTAATAGGATAATTAGGTAATTGTCTTTTTTTAAAAAAAAAAAATTCCCCTGACAAAACATAACATCAGCCCTCCCAAAAGTTGATGTGTTGCACTTACTCCTTCGTGATTAATATTTGAATTACATTATATTTATACATAGTTAATTTAGAATAAATTAAAGAGAAAACAATTTTTTGGGAAATAATGCATATTTCATTGAGGATAGAATCATTCAATGATGTATAATTGAGACCAAAACTACTACTTAAAATAAGACTTTGACTATCCGAAGACTAGGCGAAGATAGACTCTTTGGGTAAGAAATTATACAAACGATAAGGATTAGTACTAAACAAACTCAAGTGGTGTCAGCAGCGGAAACCAAGATGCTGGTGGTGGTGGTGGAGCCGCAAAGCCACCATGGCTCTGTGCTTAAGAAGATGCATGTAAAATGGAACATGTGTTACTCATATTCCTTGCAAAATCCCACAGGTTGCCCCGTTCAAACGGGGATTTGTCGGCTGGGTGAGGGTTCCAATCTTGGCCCTCTTCCCAGCCAAACGCAGCCTTCCACTTCAATTTCTTTTTCTCATAATTACCCTACGCCTTTTTACTCTAATTATCCCTTCGAGTGAGTGAGCTTTAAAATAAAATAAAAAATGACGAATAAAGTACACATGGTGAGGTGGCGCCAACCAATGAACGATAGCCGCTTAGATTTTGTCAAACTATAAAACATTAGTTTTTTAAAACTTTGGGGCTTAGTGGGAGAAGTAATGATTAGTGGATGGATTTTGACGCCCGTTTGGTCTTTTCCACGAGGATCAAATTTCGGAGCATGTTCCATCTATGCCCCTCACATGGGCCCCCTGCGTCTTTTCGCTTAATTACTACTAGTGCCATTTTTATTTTTCTACTAATAGTAAATATTATTAGGAAAAAAAAAAGTAAAATGTACAACAAAGCATTGGAAATATGGTTATTACTATGTTTTTGCAGCAAAATATAGTAAACATGGTAACGTCTAAATTTGGGAGCCGTAGACTAGGAATTGGCATGTAACTTGTTGTTAAACGCATTGTTTATACTTTAATCATTACTAGAAAATTTACTTTTTTTTTTTAATGAATGGCAACATATTGTCATCGTTCATGAATTCAATGCCTTTTCACATGATACTGTTTAGAGAAGAGAAATTTCACACATAAGTGTGCTTAAAACTTGGTAATTGGTGCTTTGGTGGGCAACTTAATAATTCAGTGAAAGTTACAATGGAGCTAATTAAATCCCATGGCCAAAAAGTATTTGTTCTAGTGATAATGATTTTTTAAAAAACAATTTGTAAGAGATTACAAGTTTAAATTTGCATTTGAAATATTTGAATTTTAAAAAAAATTATTGCAAGAAAATGTCAGAATATCTTTTCATTTTTATAACGATAACTAATTCGAGTTTATAATGATAATATGATTTTTTCTACTAATTAATAGCTATTAATGTAAATCTTTTATGCAAACTACGAAATTTCATTTATTCAAAAAAATTAATTTCCATGAGTTGCTTAAGTTTTAAATATTTAAATTATTTGGCTGAGGAAAGTAGAACTCCAATTCAAGATTCACTTATATATTATCAATAAAACTAAATTAAAACATGATTTTACTATTCATTCACTATTTGAAATACTATTCATATACTCACAAATCACTATTCACACACTCATGAATTACTATTCCTTTCACTATTCATGATATTTTTGTAACACTTTGGTCTTCTATTTTTCCGTATATTTTTTTCAATTTCAAACTTTAATTGTATTGTGATTTGGTCCTATTTTGTTTTAGTATTTTTTAATTATTTTTATTATTTAAAATTTACTACTTTAATTTCTCTTCTTCTTTTTTAAATTCTCATCCAATTAATTTAAAATTATATTTATGGACGAGTTTTGATTTATTTTTCTATATGTATGGATTTTGAAATAAATTTTTAGAACATGATTATTTTTTCTTTTGAAAAATAGATTTAGATAATTTTTAAATTATAGTGGCATGATTAAGATATATAATTTATCTTAAATAAATTTTTATATTAAAAGTGTATTTCAAATAATTTCTTCTCATTTTTTTATATTATTTTAAATTTACTATATTAATTTATCATTTTTTTATTTTTTTTCAATTTCAAACTTTGAGTATATTGTGTTTTGGTCTTATTTTGCTTTACTTGTTTTTTGTTAATTATTTTTATTATTTAAAATTTTCTACTTTAGTTTGTCATTTTTTCAAAAATTCTCATCCAATTAATTTAAAATTATATTTACTAACAATTTTGATTTATTTTTTTATATGTACGGATTTTGGAATAAATTTTTAGAACATGATTATTTTTTCTTTTGAAAAATAGATTTATATAACTTTTAAATTATAGTGGCATGATTAATATAATTTGTTTATAAAAAAACCCAAATTAATTAATTAATAGTTGAAAGTCAAATTAATATAGTTTTTTATTTTAATATTATTCATTCTTTTGTAAATAAATATATAAAAATTAAATTCACATATTCTCACCAACATTAAATAAAAAAAATTATTTGTTAAATTCTACGTAAGTTTTTAATAATTGTTATTTATGTTTTTTGACACAATCTTATGAAATAGTAAAGCTTTTTAAAAAATTTTATTTAATTTTCCTTTTAGCTAATAATCTATGGATTAACAAGAATAGACTTCTTTTTCTAAAGGAAAAATTATAAAAAACATAAATGAAAATAGTTAAATACAAAAATTTTGATTAAAAAATTATAAATAATTTTTTTCATCTTTGATTTCATATATTCTTCTAGATTTATATCATAAAACAAACTATCAAATTGAAATAATTTTTCTACATAATTTTATATATTTTATCTAATATATAACGTAACGTGAGCAGAAAAATTTGTATATACATAAAGTAAAATTACTCAGGTTAAAGGACTAGCTGGTTAATTATTACTTATTCTATTCTTACCGGTCAAACACTGCAAACAAATTCGTGTTAGTCAAATTATGATTAACGTAAAATTGTTGGACAGTTGTCATTAATGAAGTTAAACATACATTCATGGGAGTTAATTATGTAATCATGAAATAGTTAGTGGATCTTTTGCACGATACCTCGAGGGAGGCATGCTTTTTGGATAAAAACGCAGTGGAATCTTAAATAATGTCTTGGATAAGCAGAGGAGATGGGTGAATGGGGGCCAGTTCATCAACTCAAAGACGGAAAATACCTTTTTATGAGCTCAGGGCTGGTGCACTTAGGAGGTACTCGATGCCTCCACTCACTTAACCTTTCACTTTAATGGATGGTCTTGTAGGGGCTCACCATGCATAGCCTTTCATGCCATGCTCACTCTTCTTGCCTACCTTAATTAATTTTTTGTGTTTTTTGTAATTTATTAATTAAAGTCATGAGACAATCATGTCAGGTTTAAGATCCCAAAGTTTTTGCTTTTTTTTTTTTAATCATGTGCATGTAATTTTTGAAAAGACTGGCCTCTTAAGACAAGTTGAAAATTGAACCCTGGCCGGATCGCAATCTATCCATGCATGGTGCACTTTGCAGGACCATCGATTCCGATCCACTAGCTGAGGAAAACCTATGAACTAGCAGTAGTCCAGTTGCCGCGATTTCTTGGAGGGTGCGTAAGTAGCTGACCGTGGTCCAGCAGAACCTGATGTGGTGGGGGGTCAGTTGATGAGAATAATAATCTGATCAATTTTGCAACAGGAAGAGAAGGTATACAGTGACCCACATTGCAATCAAACAAAGTAGTTGCTACGTGAATGCCATGTTTTTTCTTTTTCTTTTTTGAATTGAGAATATCAACATCCATTAGATTTGGATATCGATTAAACTATTAAATTTACATCAAATTTGATTGTTTAATATTATAAAATATCATAGGTAGAGTGATAAAAAAGTGTTTTTACTTATCAAATTATAAATTTTATTCTTTTTTTTAAAAAAATATTCTTATAGCATTGATTATTAATAGATGTAATCCAATATAGATATAATTTAAGAAATTATACACTTAATCTTGATTGATATAAAAATAATATATATATATACTCTGTCATATGTGATACATATTTTAGTTTTATTTTGTCAGGAAACAACAAACAAGTTATATCTCCTCGAAATTATTATTATTATTATTATTATTGTTTTGCCTGAAAAATAATAACGGGATATGTGATGCATATTTTGATGAAGAACAATGAGATGGGACACTCATAATTAAAATATGATTTGATATATTGCACAGTATATCAATCTCTTTCAATATCTCCAATAATTCCCATAGATCCCTTTCCTTGTTAATGCAACCTAAAGCAAAAAAAAAAGGCGAGTCTTATGGTCAAACTCTTAAATCAATCAAGTTTGGCACCGAAAAGCTTTCACACAGATTTCTTCAATATTTTTCCTAATTTTTTCATACAAAATATCGTAGTTAAAAATATTTTTTCAATAAGAAAGCACCAAATTGATCCTTTCTGTTATGCTGTTTCGATGATGCTTGATATAACAGCCGAAAAAGATCTTTGTATTTACATAAAAATAAATAATAATAATAATTTTGAAAAACATTTTCAATCCCTCTACTTTTGACATGTATATGATCAGAAGGCACATATGATGTGTCAATACTATACACGCTTTTAACAAATGTTCGATCCATATTTTTCTATGAAATCGGCATAGGGTCTCAATCAAAACCAAGAGTGGTTAGTTGGGCAAGGCAACAACTTAGTCTTGCATGATATGGGGTTAGGTTTAGAAATATTGTGGGAGTTGTTAAGGATCCAAAGCTTGGTTTGCACCATAGGAAGAATATTAATGTAGGCTTTAATAATTGGCGAAAAATGACCGGACGGATAAAGCGAAATTGGATAAGAGAGGAACCAGTGCCGGTATGGACCCCCTTTAGAGCTAGAAATTGATGTCTCATGAGGCCAGCATATATTATTTGTACCAAACTGTCGAGTTTAATTTGGTCCCCATCAATGGGAGAGTAATAACATCAATGCCTTAAATGGCTACTTACTAAGATGCCTACACTAAATTTCAGAGAAAGAATAACCTTTCGTTTTGTTTGGAATAATGTTTGCTTCAACTTGAGCTTGCTTTCTGGCTTTAATGTTTCAGATTACATCATCTAGCTAGCCGTCTATGGAGTTGGACTGGTTTTGGTTTCAAAACAAGGAGCCACTTTGAGTTTGGACCTTTTGCATTTCCTCTCGTCAGAAAAAAAAAAAAAAAGAATCTTTTTTCTTTTTGGTTTTTCTACTTTAATCAGAAACAACATGATCATAAATCTTTATTATATTCTCGTGTAAGTTTAGATAATCACAACATGTAAGTATTTTATTATTAGTATCTTTACACATTAATAAAAATCATATTATAAGAATTTACCTAACAATTTAACTTCTTCTTCTTCTTTTTTTACCTTAAAATGGTTATTTTACATGGTATTAGAGTCTTTATGGCTAAACATTTATAAGTTCGAATCTCACCACTCCATTCTTCTAATTAAATTCACAAAACAGTAGTGGACATGTGCTAGTTTGAAAGCAATTATATTCTAAAACACCACCTAACAAAATAGTGGTAGATATATGTTTGAAAGCAATCATGTCTTAAAATTTCACCCACTACAAGAAAATCAAAAAATAGCGATGAATTTTTATGTCGCTATATAGTAAAAATCCGTTGTTGTTTGTCCTTAGCAACGAATTTTTCGACAACACACTTTTTATAGCAAAAGTCATCATTGCTAATTTCTTAATGAAGAAAACTTTTTCTTTCGCTAATGTGTAGAAATTTGAATTCTAAAGCATAATAAATAGTTGTCTCCATGGTTTTGTATTTGTCACAAAACCATCACTAATTTATTATTTCTATTGCTAAATAGCGATGGAATTTCCTAAGTTGTTCTCACTAAAGTTTCTTGCAAATTCATCACTATTTAACGACCAGTATAAGTATTCATCACAAAGTAATATGATCATGGGGGTCGAATTAAATGGATTACTCCACGAAGAAATTTGAGCCACACAAAATTTATATGGGTTGATTGCAAGGAAATGGGTTTTTAAAGGAGTCAAAGCTTGGCTTTTGGGCTAAAATTAATGAGCCCACAACATGGATTAAGACTTGGACCAAAAGGGGCTTATTCAATTGTCATTTGGGCAAGAGGGATTACATGATGATTGGATTGTTGCTTGTTTCTAAAATGAGTTATTGATTCTAGCCATGAGCTTCCAAATGATGCACAATCCGACCATTGCCTTGATCTTGAGGAGCTCGAACCATTGACCATTCCAGGTAGGCCCAACCATAAGGGCTAAGAACAAGAAGATCCATGAGTCTTTAAATGAGCTTATTTTAACTTATGTGGGCCAAATTCTTCATCAATGGGCTCAAAGATCATCAAATGGGCCTTATGAATTTGATCCAAGCTTTTGGGTTGAATTGTGCGGACTTGAAGTCCAATGCGGTCGAACGATATTGTCTTGATGTTTTGGACCAAGATTAACAAAGTTTAAGTTATTTAATCAATCCACTTCTACGTCATTCCAAAGTCGAATTTTACACCTCTTTTTCAAGTTAGCATTCATCAAGATTCGAACCACACTAATAGTTGCTTGAATTCGAGAAGTTTTCTACCATTTTCAAGGAGACTTATTCAAGGATTTATAATGATCTAATATTCTAGTTATAAATCCTATGTAACTTTAATTCTACTTGTCTTTTTGAATTCTAGCAACTTATTTAGCTAAACATGTTATAATTTTCAATCAATCTTTAAATCAAATCAACCTTTGTGAGAAATTTGCACATTAGTTCTTTTTAGAACTTATCAAGAGATTAATTCGATTCTTGTGGTTTTCAAGTAACTTATCACTCCTTTCCTACCCTTTATGGAGTGTGGTGGCCATATCGTTCTAATTTGATTTGGTTTTTCGAGATTTCTTCCTTCTTGTTCATAGGTTCTCTAGGCATGTTCACATTAGTTGGTATTAGAGCTCGGTTTCCAATCAAGTTCTTTTTTCTTTTTTGATTAAACTCAATTCCTCGTAGTTTTATTTAGTCCAATTTCAAGTCAATCCAACTATAAAAAAAATAAAAATAACTAAGTGGTCTATTTTAATTCGAGTCTATCCAGATTTGTTTGAATTGCTTGACACTCTTATTATTTCAATTCGGTCTTTTTTTTTTTGTTTGTCAAGTCTAAATCATCTAATTTCTTGTCCAAATTCTAAAATTGGTCATTTATTTTCAAAGTGGTATTGCACCTATTAAATGTCTAAACCTACAAAAATTTGATTGCTATACACTCATTGTATTCTGTCATTATTAAAAAAAAAAAAGAAAAAAAAAGAAGGAATCAATTCATTGTATGTTCTTAAAGTCCAAATTATTGTGTTTCAATTTAGCTTCTTAGGACCAAACCTATCCAAAAATCAGTCCTATAGTCTTTTATTTAGTTAACTTGTGATCAATCAATTTTGTCTAAAATTCTAGTTTCATCGATTAAACTCATCGTTATTATTTAAATTCAATCCTATTTGAAACTATTGTTTGTCCGAAATTTTAGTTTGTATTCTTGTTGTTTAAATTGTCCAAAACTATACTTTTTTGGGTGAGTGAGGTTGAATGTGATTATTTGCCCATTAAAATTGTGAGAAACAAATGAGGAAGTGTTTTTGAGATTTTTTCTACTACTATTTCATGTAAATATAAAAATCATATCTTCATCACCATTGGCCAAAAAGCAAAGTCGACATGATTGGTGGCGAATGGAAACAAAAGATATAAAACAACCAATGCCAAAGGATCCGTTTCAAGCTCTCTAAATTAAAATCATACGTATGAGATGAATAATTAAAATTTGCAAAGAAGAAGCACTCTAGCAATAAAATGAGGCAATTGAAACTACAAATTCCAAAGAAAATAGTGTCAATATAGAGCTCGATGTTGTTAAATCTTCTATTGAAAAATTCTAGCGCTAAGACAAAGATTTGACATTTGACAATTTTAAAGTTCTTATTATCGAAGAAGATATTAATGAGGATGACTTTAAGGGTGTTAAGAGCACTTAAATTTTATGTCATAACGATGACTATGCTCGTTATCGAAAAAGAGTTAACCAACAATGATGCTTGGTTTGATTGAAACCGAGAGTTGTGATGCTAGTTTAGTTGAAACCAAGAGTTGTTATATTGTTTTGATTATTGTCGACCATGACTATATTGTAAACAAAATTCATGTTTTTGACTTTATTATTGTTAAGAATTTTATGACTTCCAGTAAGAGAGTTGTTCTTATTGGTGAAGACAAAGAGCATACACATACGGCCTCGCCATTGTTTATCGACTTTTCCGAGTTATTCATGACTCAAAGTTTATTACATTTGCATGGTTTGATACTACTACTAATTTATCAAGGCATGAATTAGACATAAAAGTGAAGATTCGAGGATAAATCTTTTCGAAGAGTAGGGGTATGATGTGATCATGAGGGGTCAAAATTATTCGGAATTAAATGGATTACTCCATGAAGAAATTTAGGCTACGAGAAAATTCATATATACTG